CAATCTCTTGCACTGCCATCATGTGTTGTATTCAGATCATAAAGGTTTTGAATTGCAAATTAAATTCCAGGATTTAAACAAATGTGTTGAGTCTCCAAGCTGTATTTTGCAGAATTATAATTGAATGGGAGAACTAGATAGGTTAAAATCGGTTGTGTGGTTGGGCTTGTAGGGTTGTGGTTAATGGCTTGGACTCAGACTGTGACTGAAAGTGCAGTATCACAGGGGCCTAACCTGGGACCTGTCCTTTTTAACGTCTTTATCAATGACCCATGAAGAGGTGATGTTGCATGCTGTCATAAAGTTTGCAGATGACACCAAGTTGGGGGGGGAGACCAGATGGATAGGCTCAGTGGTAGAACTGCCACCCAGAAGGGCGTAGGCAGGCTGGGGGAAGTGACCAACAGGAACCTTATGAAGTTCAACAAGGTCAGATACAAAGTCCTGCACTTGCAAAGGAAGGGCAAGATAGGATGGGCACTGCCGGGTTGAGGAGTAGCTCTGTGCAGAAGGCCATGGGGCAGTGAGCTGGGCAGAAGCTGGCCATGGGCCCTGGCCACAAAGGCAGCCAGTAGTGTCTGGGGCTGTGCGAACAGAAGCACAGCTGGTGGTGGCTCAAGGGAACGGGTTATCCCTCTCTGCGCACCACTTGCTGGATTACAGGTAGACCCTACATCCAGTTGTGGGCCCTAGTACAAGAAAGACATTAGTAACCTGGAAGGACTTAAGCATAGGGCTGCCAAGGTGCTCAGGAGCTGGAGCACTTGCCCTGTGAGGAGATGCTGATGGTCCAGGGTTTGCTCAGTTGGAGAAGAGTTGGCTTTAGGGAGACCCAGCAGCAGGCCTCAGTTCCTATGGGGAGAGCAACAAGAAGAGGGAGCCAGGCTCTTCATGGTGGAAGAGCTTCATGGGAGAACGCAAGGCAACAGGCATAAGCTAAAGAAAGAGAGAATCAGACCAGATATAAGGAATAAATTTTTCACAGTGAGGACAGCCCAGCATTGGAGCAGGTTGTTGAGCAGAAAGTTAAACTGGAGACTGCCAGAGGTCGCTTCCAACCTGAATTATGCAAGAATCAGTGGAAATTTATCCATATTTAGTAGTCTGTAATGTGAATTCTAACAGACTGCATGCGTTTTATGTTTTTCTGTTTTTAAAATAACCATCAGGCATTGTCAGTGCATTTTATCTCTTTGTACAAGTTAAGGTCAGTACAGCATAATTACCATAATGATGTACCTGACCTTAACATAGGTAGGAAGCCCTAACTCATTAAGTTCACCTAATATGGAAATGGTAAAAGGCTTTCACAGAATGTGGATTACTTCATCTGATTGTGTTTTCTACCATGGTTTCCTGGAGACTGCCAAGGAAAATGATACATCTTAGTTCTTGCTTCAAAGTGTTCAAAGATAAGGAGCAATGTTTTCGAAAAGATTTGATGTTTGGGACCTAGGAACGGTGTTTGACAAATTTATTCAGTGCACATAATGCAACTGCCTGTGACAGTGAATTGGGAATTCTGTACTGAGGACAGAAGGTCTTTAATGGCTTTTTAAATGAATGAACTTTTCTGAGAATGAAGAGTTAACTGCAAATTCTACTGCTTTTGGCTCAGAGTACAAAGTGTGTACTCCAGCATTCCTTGTCTAGTTGGATGGGACAGTAAACAACACTGTGTAGGAGGTTTAAAAAAAACAAACAAACAACAACAAAAAACCCCCCAACAAAACAACAAAATCCCCAAACCCTCTTAGGGATCCAAGTACTTCTCTGCCCAGGGTGAGCACAAGTGAATAAGAGAGTATATGAACTATGGTAATTTCCTTATTGCACAACAGAAACATATTCAAAGAGTTTACTGACTTGTGAAAGATAAAAACCAGGGTAAAAATGATATTGAAAATATCTGTAGTGCTTTAATTGTGTTTACATATTCACCTGTAGCCATAGTATTTATTCTGCAAATGTGCAGTCTGAAAAAATATGTTAAGCAAAACCATGTCAGCGTGTCAGGTGCAAAGGTGAAATCCACTGTGGAATCATGAGATAAAATGGTGTAACTGCTCTAAATTTTTATTTTAATCTTATTTCTGCTATCTGTTGCTCCTTTTTATCACCTATGCTGTATTTTTAGGGCACATAAGGTAAATAAATAGGTCATAAATACTGTAAATAGTAATTTTGTGTTAATACAGTTTCTACAGAGTCAGGGAAATACACAGAGCAATACACAGGTGTTCTTTATTTTCTTTTACTGTGGCGTGGAACAGTAGCACATAAACCTGCAACATCGACAATGGCACAGAATTGTAGCAGGGAGTCTAAATTACCACTGTTTTTATTTACCAGCCTTGAAGAGAGATGAAGGCACCTTAAGAAAATAATTAAACATGATATTGCACAACTCTAGCTGAAGCACTGAGCCTGATTCAGTGCTTTGACCTAAAAAGGTGTTTCATACCTATCCTTGGAACTATATAAAGCAGGAAGAAAAGTGTTAACTTATTTTGAAGGTAGGAATACTTGAGAAGCAGTTGAGATAGCAAGGAATGATTTTAATGTGAAGAATAATTTTTCCCAAGAGTATTTTCAAATTAGTTTCAAAATTCTTGATACAACCCTCCTAGGCTGTTGTAGTAATACTTTCCTCTATAATGTAATTTGTGTGGCCTTTATAATTTTAAGATATTACTATTGGTTTTTGGTATATCTATCTTTGATTTTAACCATTAGTGCAAAACCAGTATATGTTTACTAAGAACAGGTATTGTGAGCTAAAATGCCATGGCTGTACTACTCTAATATTCATATTTTAAAATTCTGGTTGTATTAGACACTAACAAAAATCAATGAAGATGACCAACCAAGACTGATTGACTAGCTAGCCAACTAACCAAAGTGAAAAGTGTCTTTGCCACCACAAAACCCAAAAAGGAGGAACAAGCTAAATGTTGTCTGTAGAATTTAATCCGCTGTCAGTATTGCTCCTATGGCTGCTCTTCCTTTATTGCCCACAGAGACATATGAAAGATAGGATCATTCACCACATTAGCATCGACCTCCTCAAGGGCCAAATATATTCTGCTATGTGAATGTTGCATCAGAAAACATGTTTTTATGAAAAAAGAGGGAGGAGGGAGAGAGTGGAGGTGATCTGCTCAGTATAGTTCCATTCCACCTGTGTCCTGGTTTCAGCTGGGATAGAGTTAATTGTCTTCCTAGTAGCTGGTACAGTGCTATGTTTTGAGTTCAGTATGAGAAGAATGTTGATAACACGCTGATGTTTGCAGTTGTTGCTGAGTAACATTTAGTTTGAAGTCAAGGATTTTTCAGCTTCTCATGCCCAGCCAGCGAGAAAGCTGGAGGGGCACAAGAAGTTGGCAGAGGACACAGCCAGGGCACCTGACCCAAAGTGGCCAACGGGGGATTCCATACCGAGTGACGTCACATCTAGTATAGGAACTGGGGGGAGTGGGGGTGGGGGGATTGCCACTCAGGGACTAACGGGGCGTCGATTGGCAGGTGGTGAGCAATTGCACTGTGCATCACTTGTATATTCCAATCCTTTTATTATTACTGCTGTTATTTAATTAGTGTTGTCATTATCATTATTAGTTTCTTTCTTTCTGTTCTGTTAAACCATTCTTATCTCAGCCCACAAGTTTTACTTCTTTTTCCTGATTTTCTCCCCCATCCCACTGGGTCGGGGGGAGTGAGTGAGTGGCTGCGTGGTGCTTAGTTGCTGGCTGGGGTTAAACCACGACAACCTGACAGACGGCAGAATTCACAGAGCAGAGATCTGCTCTGGGAATCAGGGAAATCAGGCTTTTATTACGGAATATAATGCTGGCTTGAAATATTTAATATCTTCAGAGGTGACAGAGAATCAGTTTACGAAACCTGAAATTGTCTTCCATTTTGCTAGGATTTGCTTTACTCTCATTTCTCTCCTTTTCCTAGCATAGTCAGCAGACTTTTTTCTAACCAAAAAGTGGACATCTCAGATAAATGCAGACAGTATGAATGCTGAAAAGGGCATCTCTGTTCCATAAGTTTATAGTGGAATCATGGAAGTGCAGCGGAACAGGAGTGAAACATGAGAGCAGTTTTGAAGCGGGGTTTTTTGGGGTTGTGTTGGGTTTTTTTCTTGTGAAAATATGGCTTTCTGGGACTAAGGTTCCTATTACAAGAAAACAGGAGTGAGAGAAAAAAACTGTTCGCACGTATCCAGAGCGTTCAACTTCCTAATATACTGTTGCTGCAAATGACATTGTGTGTCACCCATAGCCAGAGAAACAAAAAATGAGGAGTGATTGCACAGTGGCATCACAGGATTCCGCATCTCATTCAGGATACCTTCCTTCTGGATTTTCAAATGTATGCTAAGTGCATCTTTTAAAGGACTACTATTACACTTGCATCATTTCTGTACCCTTTATAGATGGAACTAATGAAGTAGAGTGACTTTTCAGATCAAAATAAAGCAAACTTATCAGAACTGAGTGACTAAAGTCTGGTGAGTGCTGTCAAGACACACAGCAGAAGTATGGCACAGAAGAAACCTTGCTTTACTTATTCTTTCCTCTTCCCTCTGTATGCCTCTTCAGTGTGCATGGGCAAGAAAGTAGTGATATGCATGGGTGAGGTGGTATGTCCAGTCAACTTTATTTTTATTGGTTCTTTGGATGAAAAGAAGTTCCTGTGTCATTCTGAGATACAAGGCCACAAGCAACAATTCTATTGAGCATAGCTGGCATCTTTTAAGAAGACCTTGAATAAAAAAAAAAACCGCAAACATTCATGTGTCCTTATTGGGTATTCTGAATAATAAGTTGTTCTTGCACTAGATCTAGACTTTGTGAGACTGCAGAAATTGCATAGTGTATTGTTCTGCTGATTTTTTAATATAATATTTTCCCATATTTTAACTGAATTTCCTATATAGTTTATAGAGATATGCATGAAAACTTTCATCTGTGTTTGTGTTTTAATTACAGGTGCTGTTCTTATGTGGGTCGAAGGGGCAATGGTCCTCAGGCTATATCTATTGGCAAGAATTGTGATAAATTTGGTATAGTTGTCCATGAGTTGGGTCATGTGATAGGTTTTTGGCACGAACATACACGACCAGACCGTGATGACCATGTTACCATCATTAGAGAAAACATCCAGCCTGGTGAGATATTCTGAGAAGTATTTTGGGAAAAAAAGTCCGTTTATTTTTGGTGTTTCCTTCATCTGCTCAACTCTCTTAAAACTGAATGCTGAATAGCAGAAATGAACTGAACAGCAGAAATTAGCATTTATGCCTGCTATTCTTCTTAGCTAGACTGATGTCAAGCTGATTCGCAAATGAAATACTGCAACTAAAATATAAGCTTTTCTAAAGATCTGTTGAAGTAGCAAGCTGTTAAATAGTATTGGCTAGAAGGAGAGAAGTAGTAATCATGCTCAAAGACTTTGAAGGAAGCTATTGCTCTTAAAACCCTTTAAAAGTCATGTTTCTGTGCTTAAGAAAGGGCTTTTCTTTTGTAGTCTTTACTGAATGGTAAGTGAAACACATCAATAGCTTTTTAGCTGCCCAAGAGGTTTAGACTGGGGAGGTAAGCGGAGGAGTTTGAATCTGTGATAAAGATGGGCACTGTTCCCACCCCTACAGAGCTTGCAGCTTTAGCCAATGGGCTTGGCGTTGTTGAGACAAAGCATCTGAGGGACCTGAGAACTTTAAACTGTGACTGTCATCTCTTTGTCAGTCTAGCTGTTGTGGCCACACTTGTGTTGTGTGGGCAAGATGGGAGGGAATTAGGCATGTTTTATTTGCAGTGTTCATAAATGTGCATGGTCTTTGTGAAACACTGATTTTGACTTACAGGAATTCTCCGCTCAAGAAGCGGTCAAATCAGAAATTGTCCAATGATAGCTTGGAGTATTTGTTCCTACAGAAAATGTTTTAAAACAAAATAAATTTGAGATGCAAGACATCTTTGCTACCTCAACTAGGACTTGGAAGATGACTGGCAGCTAATACACACTCCCACAAGTCTCTGAAGTCCTGAAAGGGCATGTGCATCCAAGCCTTCCTTTTGTTTTCTCTGTGTCATTGACTTGTGTAGATGCCATAAGTGGTCTTGCCCTGTTCTTTTTCTGTGATGGGGAAAATCAGCTGGAGTGCCATCCTCAGCCTCCTGCTCTCTCCTTTCAGTTGTCTTTCTAGTTTCTGGCTGAAACCACTTCTTGTGGTGTGGCATGAGCTTGAGGATCACTAAATGGGATCAGGAAGTCATGACCACCAAGACATTTGAGTTTTGTTATATTATGGAAATTATGTTGGTTAATAATGTTAATGCCACCGCAATTTTTTTTGCAAGACACCAATGGGAATATGAATTGGAATAAAGGGTGCTTTGCATTTCTTAGTACACTGATTAGGACAAAGAACTTCTGGTCTGGAATTATGAACTAAGTATAATTCTTTTGTTCCTCTTCTGCTTTTGTTAAATTGCAACAGCTGGTACTTGAAAATGTGACTTTGTAGTGTTTGTATTACATGGGGGCTCAGAGAGTAGACTTTGCTGAAGCAAAGTCTCTTTAGTATCCAGTCTAATGAGCCTATGATGAGGAGGGTTCTTCCGGGGTCTTTGCTGTCAAAATTATTTATTTCTGGAATTAAGAACCAAGCCAGCAAATTTTATGAATTCTACGTGAAGCGCAACATAATGTATGGGACCTTTATGTGGGTTAGGTGAATGAGAACAGTCTTTCTAAATGCCAAATACAGGAATTTGATGTGTGTTTCAGAAGACATGTCTGCCCTCTTGGTTAATAAAATCACACAGTTACTCCCAAATGGCTAAGATTTATGAATGTCAGTAAGTGATTAGGTTAGGATCTTTGTTGTTTTTCGTCTCCTGTTTGGTTTTTATCTTAAAAAAAAAATTAAGAAACTGATTATCAATCGTTTGTAGGTCAGGAATACAACTTCTTGAAGATGGAGCCTGGAGAGGTGAACTCCCTTGGGGAACCGTATGACTTTGACAGCATTATGCACTATGCCAGGAACACCTTCTCAAGGTTGGAGTCTCAGGTTATACCTTTTGACTTTTAATTCTATTCCTCTCTGTGAATGCTAAGAACTATGCTTTAAGTATTCCAAAACTGCTTAAAATATCCCTTGCACTATAGTATTCTTACAGCAGTCAAAGCACAGCTTGTTTATTTTAAGTCAGAATAATTTAATTATATTTTTAAACATGTGGGGTTTTTTTCTGTTCACTTTCAAAGAAGCCTTTTGATCTGGCTTCAGTTCTTTAGATTTTTAAGACAAGATAATCTGGAAACGTCACTTCATATAATACTCACTTTCTTTTTGTCTCCACAAAAATTTGAATTTAGAAAAAACAAATGAGTGAAATAGGTAGGAATTTTATGTTTAACATGATCTGTTCTCATAAAGAGAAGTAACTTTTGATGCATAATGTCTGAGTAACTATGGGTTATGCAGGTAGAACACGTTTTGGTATTAGGACATCTACCATGCAAGCCACAGCCTTTGCTAAGGACTGCAGTCAACCATTTATAAGAGAGGCTGCAGCCTCTTCTCTATTGTTTGTACATGTTGTTACTGTCATCAAAAACATATAATAAAGAGTTCTGCTGGTTTTGCTCTGGCCTGTTGCAGGCTGACCCATTCCCAACTCCATAGTAACTCATGTGGGGCTCGCTCTGAAACTGCATGGTTGTGGGGAGCTATACAAGGAGCTGTTCCCATAGGCTAGCCCTACTCTGGAGAATAAGTGAAGAAGGAGTCTTTCACTTGGTCTCCTGTTACCTTTCATACCAAGTTGCAGTTCACCTAATTAATCTCTAAAAATACCAGAGTAATGTAACTTAAAAGAAACCTCAAAAGATCCCCAACAAAAAATTCTAGTTTGAAAATTATGCGCTTAGCTTTTTTTTCCCCCAATTCATGCTTTTTAAAGCAAAAGTACTAGACAATCTGAGACTCTGAAATGAACCAAAGACCACCAGAAACCTCAACAGCCTTTGCAAATTTCTTAAGCTTGTTGTCCTCAATATAAATGACAGTATTTAAAAAAAAAAAAAAAAAATCCCACCAAAGTATGTATTCACCATACACATAATTCACCCCTGGAAGAGCATGGGAATGAGCCATATGAGGTAGATATTAGTCACATTGCTTAATCCAGTTACAGATACCATTACCTTAAGGAAGAGATTATAAGAACCTATATAAAATAGAGTAATTTAACAACCTGGAACCCCACCAGAGTCCTAGGGCAATGACAACATCAAGATAATTTGATTTGTGGGCCCTGATCTCACCACTTTCCAAGCTGGCAAAAACTGATAGTGCGATGAGTAGGCATGCCCTGCCCCAAGGTACAAGAGGTTGTTACTTCATACTGTTTAAAAACAACCAGCAAACCCTTGAGGTCCTGTATTGATTTGCACTGATTTATCTTGAAAGCATGAGTCGTGCTCAGTGTGGCATATTGCCAGCTGTTTGCTGTTAGACTTTACTCACCCATATAAGTAGTAGAAATCACAAAACACCATAAAGTTCCAGTCACACACAGCGATGTTGTTCGTGCTGTATTAAAACTGTTACGGGTTGTTCTCTTATTAAAGTGCTAAGGCATTTAAGGGAGGATTGTTTTAACATTTTTCAAAATATGAATAGCATCAGTTTCAGTTGTACTAAAAAACAGTGGAAAATAAAATTATAATTTATAGATACAAACATGTTTTTGAAATAGTAATGTGCCTTATTTCTAGAAACTGAATAATGCTGCAAGTAGTTTATTTCACTGTTTAGATTAGGGTAACATCCTGAGATGTTTCTTTTTTTTCCAGATTTCTAGTGATGCCACAAGAAATCTGACTGGGTAAAGAGAGCAGTATGTGCCTGCAATACTCAAAATGGTTCATTTATTATAATTTAAAAACCAATCCGTATTTATAAACAGTATTCCTAACTACAAAGATCCCTACTGTTCATTCATTTTTGGAGCTACATTATGCCTGAAAATACCAGTTTTACTTTTCAATAAAAGCCCTACAAATATACAAGAGAGTATTAAAAAAAATAAAGAGAATACAGAAAGATATTCATCTGTTAACTTCCATTTTATAGGATTTGAGGGATTTTCAAATTCTCTAACAGGATAATAGAACCTAGTTTTGTACCTTACTCTTTTAAAATTTATGTGAGACTACCAAGATATTTTGATCATATTTAAAATTTGGGAAATTATGAATAAAACTGCACATTTGGAACTAGTGTGCTTCTCTATTATTTCTAGTCATTTAGGCTAAATGTTATTAAAATCACATATGGTAAGTTGATATATTTTATTGTAAAGCAAGCAGAGGCTGGCAAGTAAGCATTTCTGTTTCAAAAGCAGCAGTGGCTAGAGTAGAGTTAGATCTGTTATAACACCTGACAGAAGAATGATTAGCAAGCATACCTGACTTTACCTGCTCTTACACATGTAAGTCAGGCTTTAATACTTTGTTAGAAGTATATAACTTTGCTAGAAATAAGAACTTTGTGATTAAGAATTTTGTGTTAGGGCCTAATCTATGTATTTTTATATAATTTCATAATTTATTTTTTTCACTATAGCAAGTACTTAACAGCAGTGCCTTTTTCCTGTGTAGTCTTAATGGTAGTAAGAGATTTTCTTCCTGTTGCCTAACAGAAATATAAAAGCTGATATGTTAACTGATGTACTGAAAGAAGATTCTTTTTTGATAACTTTGCATAAAGTTTGCCAGCCTGAGGAATTTTTATGACATGTTTTCTGTATTTAAAGTTCTGCATTTTACCCTCTTATTTATGACAAATGTAAATTCTAGATTTACAAAATAGCATTATACATTCCTAAATCTCAGACGGTTTTATGACAGAAACCTGATAGGGGTTTTTGGGGTCTATTTTTATTTTTATTTTTTTTAGGGGCATGTTTCTGGATACCATTCTCCCTTCCCGTGATGATAATGGTATACGACCTGCCATTGGCCAGCGTACTCGTCTAAGTAAAGGAGATATTGCACAGGCAAGAAAGCTGTATAGATGTCCAGGTATTGCACCACAAACAAACAAAACCCACATACTAGCAACTGTTTGACTTGTTGTTCAAGAGGAATGATAAATTTTTTTGAGTCAGCTGCTCAGCAGTCTTTTTCCATGTTGGCAACTGACATAGGCAGTTCAAGAATTGAATCATAAAAAAATCTTATAGATAAGGTCTCTGAAACGCAAAGCACTTAAGGACAGATAAACTGTATGAAACAACACTTAGTTCCATGACATTTCAGTCTTTGTTTTCCTTAGTTGTTCAATGACTAGGAAAAAAAAAAAAAAAAAAGATGTTTAATATCACTTCTAGTTTGCCTATTGACTGGAGTCCTTTTTTATTTGAATTCAAGTAGGGTGCAGAAGGAGCAAATTAAATTATTGCAATCAGCTCTGAACATATTTCATTTTTTGAAAATTTGATAAATAACAAGCCGGGACAACTAACTTGTAAACTCTTTTATGGATGCTCTGGTTAGATCTTAGTCCAAAATTTCTACAGTTTTAACAGATACTTTTAGTATTTGAATATCTTCTGCCGAATTCTAGCATCCTGTACTTTCAATACATATGAATGTTTTATCTCAAAATAGTGTTGGGGTAGAGTTGCCTGTCTCAGAGACATCAGTGGCAAGTCTGGGGTAACCCGGAGTCAACCCTGTCGTTCTCATTGTTCTCTAGTGCTGGTTCTTCATTAAGTGCCGGCAGAGTGGTGGAAATCTCAAAGCAGAAGGTTTTGCTTTCCTTGCTCTAGTTATGGCTGATACCAGTTTTAACCTTTGGTGTCAACCGAAGCACTTCAGAAGTGCCATCTCTCAGCCAGAATTTGCCAGCAAGGTCCTTGTGGGAGGCTAGACGTACCAGCTCTGTGCCACATAGGTTTTACAGCCCTCCTGCTCCTCACGGGAATAAATGAAGTCTCAGTAACTGTTTTAAGTCAGATATATGGCTACTTTTTACCACCTGATCAATACAGAAGGACTAAGACGAGGGATCAGGACTGAAGTGATGGAGCTGCTTCAAATTTATATCAGCAGCAGTGGGATCTACTGAAGATCTGGGGCATCTGATGTGCATTTGATGCACACTGTACAGCTGAAATATGCTTTTCCTTTGTGCTGTAAGTACACTGAATCATAATCTTCTATATACTGAGAACATGCACAGTGCTTCTGGGCCTACCAGAGGAAAAACCACTTTAGCACATTTTCTTTAACAACTGTTCCTTTTGGAATAATTTTTGCTCTTTCCTTTTGATACAGAAAGTACTTAAATAATGGCATTCTTCTTGGCAGCATTATTTCTAATAAGAGTACACAGAGAGCAACAATTTCATAAACACAGAGGATACATATATATTGTGATAAAGACAAATTTTGGAGACAAAAATAGTCTAAAGAATTAAAACTACTGTGAAAACAGCTAGTATCTTATGATCACATTTACTTAAGACAAAAAAAGAAAAAAATTACAGCCGAGGCTGTGTATATAATACTCTAACATGCACTTTCAGTCAGCTGAAAAAGACGTAGTGTGCTTTTTGAGCTAATGTTCAAATAGTTGTTCAGAGAAAATGTCCTTTTCATATAATTCATGAAAATGTGTAATGATGAGTTACCATTTCTTTCAATGTCTTGAAAGTCTTGTTGAAAGTTGGTTTCACAGTATTATAAAACCATGGCTGTTCAGCAGTAGTGCACACTTTAAAAGTAAGCTATTTTTTGCAGCACTGGTGGACACAGGTCAGAAGGATAATAAAAATGAACGGTGGTTGCAGGATCATGTTCATTTTCTGGCACTTTCCTTTGGCAAACTTTGGGATAAAAGACGGTTTTCTAACCTTACTTAGGTGATCCAGTCCATAAAAGAAAGTGAGTTTTAAGAGAGAGAAAAAGGCAGAAAGTTTTGCTACAAATTTTAAATAGCATACTATTTAACATGCTGGGGTTTTCGGTTAATAATTTTAATAGAAGCTGAATAACTGAATAACACAACATGAACTTAAACAGCCAATAAAGAAAGCAGCTCTCTGAAAGTTGCATGGCACTTGTGATCTAATAAATTTTCCAGCACATAGTGAGACTGAAAATTCAGACATTAAGCTTTCAGTTTTATGAAAAGAATCATGTCATCATTGTAGTATATAGCAATAAAATCCCTGACAGTCTGTTATTTTTGGAGGCATTCTGTATTTCCTATTTCAGACAAAAGATGTTATTCATGATGTCTGCTTGTGATAAAACAGCAGTGAATATTTCAAACGTTAATAACATCTGCATTGTTTCATGTGTTCATTTGTGTTGCCTTAAATGTAATACAATGAAAATACAGAAGATAGTAACTTAAATAAATCAGTATTTTCCAGAGATGCACACTTCTTTGATAAAGGATTTTGTGGTATTGTGCATGTTTCGTTTGGAGTTCTAGTTATTCCTGCAAGCAGTTTCTGGTCCAAGAAGCCGGCTGCGTTTTCTGGGGCCCATGAACATGAGGTAGAGCTCAGGGCTGCTGGAGAATAAAACTGATCCGCACAGCTGTGAAGCAGCTGAGCCTTCTGGGTTGTTTAGCTAGTCAGGGTATTCAGGGTCATTATTCAGGAAAGGGCTTAGTGACCAAGGAACAGTTTTGAGCTTGGTGAAGCCAAGGCATGAGATTTGATAACCTGTCTTTCATCAGCTGAGTAAGTGCCAGGGCTCAACAACATAGCAACAGCAGTTTTGGTTTGTTTTTAACTTTCTTAGGATTTTTGTTGAAGGAAAACATAATTGGTGTTAGGGATCTGTTACATTTTAATACTGAGTTACATTGTTACACGATAGAATAATAAGGAGAAAGCAAGGAACTAAGTTTAGGGTCCTTCCTCTGCCAATCTTATTTTGAACTTTGAGTGTCTTGGCATTTGAAAACAGATCTTGAACTTCAAGGCTGGATGTATTACAATAGTTTTCAGACTGTCTAATGGAGTACAGAATATGTTTTCTTCTGGTGTAGCTACTAAAATTTCAACACAGGTCTACCTTTATAGTTTTACATAGAAATTGTAGTTGATTTAAAATTCCTATGTAGTATTATAGGAGCAAAAGAATAAGGAAGAGAAATGATGGAGAAGGATACTCTTAGGCAGAAAGAGAGGAAAAGAAATAACTGGGTAGAGTGGGACTGAATAACTGATGGGAAGGGAGGCTCAGACTGGCAGGAGAAGGCTGTTCAGAGGAAGAGAAGGTACATGGAAGAAGTTCAGCAAATTTACAAATTGCCAGGTTCTGTGACAGTATATGTGGAAGAGAGCAGATGAAGGATACCTAGCCTGGCTCTTTTTGGGGGCTATTCTCAGTGTTCCCCAGGCTTAACTTGCTCCCATCTCTATTAGATTAGAAAAGAGTGTTCACCTTCAAAAGTCAGCCTTTATTCACTACATAAGGAGGATTAAGGTTTTTAGATTAAGGCTGTTTCCCTATAAAGGGGAATCAAGTCAACAGTAAGACACTGAGTTGTAGTAAACTAATTTAAGTTTTTTGTTTAACAAGTACATTATCAGCACCAAGTATTTGTAGGGCTCTGTGGCAGCTTTATATGCCATGTATGGATAGTTTTACAGACTTGGGTCTAAGTAAAAAGTATTAAAGATCTTAATTCTCTTTGGAAAAGGGTAAGCTTAAATTAGCCATATATGAAAGTATGTATTTGCTAGTGCTATGGAAAAGGAATGAGAGTTGGTTTCCTAAGTGTCGTGGAGGATCTGGGCTTTGTCATTTGCAGATTTCATTATAATCCTTAATGGAACTTGACCGTGTACGTAGGCCAACCCAAAGAGATGTTATACACAGGCTGTGTAATTAAATACTGCCGCAGAGTTCACTGGTAGAAATTGCTTTGTATAAGCATATAATCTACCTGCTGCCTTTACGCATTGCTAATCTTTACAAGGAGAAGCAAAAATAGTTTCCCTTTCCTTACCACAGAAAGGCTTATCAGAACTCTAACCTTCTCAAGCTATAAAACAGACAGGAGATTGTTTTTTTGGTTGGAGTGTGTGTGTGGGGAGAGCTAAAGTGACATTTCTGCAAGCGGTCTAGCCTAGTAAAATTGATATAAGGCATGACATTTGAGAAGGGGGAAAAAAAGCATTAGAGAAAACATTGGCATTGTTATTGGTTAACAATGGAAGAAAAAAGTACAAATGCTTTATAAAGCAAAGGTGCGTAAGACTGAAGTTGTAATTAATTTCTTCTGACATGAAATATACTAAGATTAGTTCTTAGGAAATTTAAATAAGTGGTCCTTACTACTCATTTTCCTTTTACGTTTCTTTCCCAAAGTGGAGTCCATTACTAATGGACCATTACACGGTAAAATGTTTATAACATACCATTTTATAAGCCTAGTCATGAATACCAAAGTTGCCACAGTCCAATTACAGAGAAAACCTTTACATTCTCTACTGATAGAATTTTAACTGTTTCAATTACCATTGACCCATTGCAGAGGAATGTGCTTTTAAACAAGAAATGCCCAAATATCACCCTGTCTACAGCGGCTCTGGAAGCCAGCCTGGAATTCAGATCCCATAGATAATTAATTCAACTATTGATTAGTGTAAGCTGTTCTTGTTATAGTTCCCTTGAGTAACCAGGAATTTTAAATTAAATGGTAAATATGGTGAAAAACATAAAGCCCAAACATATTTGATAAATTCTAATTGTGTTAATTCTTAGTAGTAGTTATCCAATTACAATTTTTCTTATGCTTCCCTTAAATTCAGAGATATTTATGAAAATTTTGGATTGATAGAGAGCTCCCAGGCATTTGATATGGATAGAAGTTAAATTGTTGTATTAACTGGCTTTATTCTATAATTCCTAGAAAAAGATTATGTTCCATGGCACCTTTTGCAACTTAAAATCCATAGTTTTAAGGCTATGTACAACTTCTGTATATGGAGCATGGAGTGTTATTAATTTGGAGAAAATAATCCTGCACTCTGTATAAGAGAGAAAAATTCTTAAATGTTTTAAAAAATGTAAAGCTATTATGCTTAATTCATTATGTGTTTACTTTTATAATGGGGTGATTTAGGGACTTTAATAGAGTAAGGGGTAGCTACTCCAGGGTCTTCCTCCTCTTCTCTTGCAGGGCTGCATTTGAACTGATATCTTGTATGTCCCACACATTTGATAGCATTTGGTTTGCTTACATACTTGATATTGTGTGAATGTGTGCATTGCATGACTTCATAATATTTGTGAGTTGAAGTTACAGTTAACTGAAAAAAATGCAATGTGAGCAGAAAAGAATGGACAAACAGCATTCCCCATGTCTCATCATGTCATCTGCTCAAGGCTTGCTTAGTAACTGTAGTGTTGGTGAAATAGTTATAGCTAGAGCAAAGAGAAGATGTACTAAAGCTTGAAATATGGTTGTACGCCTTGTGAGAGTACACTGATGCGGTGTAGTCTCAATGAAGCCATGCATGGGGGGAAGAACAAGAGAGGGCTCTAGAAGCGGTGAGCAAAATACTTGGATCCTCGCAGATCTGCGTCGTGCGTGCATCTGCTGCGCAGGGTATCTCTGCTTTGGGCTCTGCTTTCCTCTCCTCCTGTATGAGACCACTACGTTTTTCTCTTGGCCTTCTCTTAAGTGCTTTACGTATGCATTGTAAGCTACAATACAGTTCACTAGTGCTGGGGGTACCCCATACAGTAGTCTGCGATTTATTTCAGTTTGCATTCATTGCTGTGTTAGAAAAAAATCATGGTTAATTAGAGCTTTAGACAGAAATAATTATTTAGTGCTGAATACCTTTTTTGTATGTGTCATTTGCTGTGGCTGCCTGCAATTTTTTAAAGATAAACCCACATTTTTTTAAATGAGAGGAGGAAAAAAATTTATTTTTTTTTCCGTTTCATTCCTAAAGGACATGGTGATGGTGATTTTAGAAGTTAAAATTTTGGGTGCTGCACCAATCTTTCTTTTCTCTCCTCATCACAATAACCATTTCAGTGCCAAAGAGCATATTTAATGCCTTGAAAGTAGCTTATGCCTGATATTACAGTGTAGTTGTCAGATTACATTTTTGATGCATTTTAACAAGACAGCCTTTACAGCTGTGTTGTCTGTCTTTGTCATATACAATCTCTTCCATTGTCCCCTTTTATTTAAAGATTTTCCAGATCATTTATAATTCATTGAGATTTTGGTGATACAGTAGTTCACCTGCTGGCAGTGGTAGCACTGTAATTTGAAAGCACTGCAGATCTGATTACATTGTCAGTCATGGGATAATATTCTCAAATTCACATCTCTCGTATCACACCTGCAAAATTGGTGGGTGAAACAACTTTATTAATGTCAAAAAAGATGACTGACTGAGGTGTACCGGAATCAGTTTTAGTGGTGGGGAATGGCAAGAGCTTCCAATGCTATATTTTAGTGTGAAGAGGAATTATTAACCAGTCTGCCAGCAGACGGTAGCATGACTGACAGCTGAGATATGGGTGCTAAAAGCATCAATAATAAAGAATATAAAAGCCTTTGATATTTTAGGACTTTACATTTGCTTTGCTTTATTACTCATATCTCTACAAGTCACCGTTGCAAGAGATTTTGTTGAATATAGGATTTAGTTTTCTACACCGATATAAATGAGTGAGTTTGGGTCAGATCAGTCTCTCATGTGGGCAAAGTACTAAATTAAATGAAACCACTGACGAAATTCCAGTGTGGTGCCAATCATGCTGTGCCAGCTTTTGTTTTACTTTTGGTTTAGATCTTAAAGGATTTGTCTAAGGGTGTGGCTAACTTCCTTTTTCACCAAAGTAAAGTTATATGTATAACTTTGCAGTTGATTGACAGCAATGACATTTTTAAGACTGCTGTAATTTTGATTATGTCAGCAGACAGTACACAAGTGAAAGAGTTCACAGAATAAAAACATCCTGTGTAAAATTGAATGAATGTCAGACTGGCTGAAAATCATTGTTTTGAATAAATCATTAAATAACTAGTCTGTTTTCCATTCTTCATCTGCAGTGAGTTAAATGTATTCTGAATAGATATTGGAAAGATGCATTTTTCTCTGTTAGGCGCATTCAATTTTATATTTTTACTTTATTTTGTTTCTTTCAGCCTGTGGAGAAACACTGCAGGAATCTACAGGCAACTTTTCTTCTCCAGGATTTCCAAATGGTTATCCTTCCTACACACACTGCATATGGAGAATCTCTGTGACCCCAGGGGAGAAGGTATTTTAACATTCCCTTAGCTAAACACAGATACTATTTGCAAAATAAAATGCTGCATTTCTTTAGCTTTTCATTTAAGTTTAAAGCTTGCATAATAATTGAAAACAATGGTATGCCATAACAAATAGGACCATGAACTATGTGCTATTGACTTTGGTCTGTAGCATTAGAACCACATCATCTATTTGGTGGCTGTCCATGTGAAATGAAGGCATGATTTCAGTCTGCTACATGTTTGCTTCATGAACTCCTTTTGAAACTGGCTTCCAATTCAGTTAGTGGTTCGGTGTAAAGCTGGAAGAGGTAGTCCAGGCTCCTGAATGGTGTCTTCTCCAGCACAGGCTCAGGTGAGCTGACTGAGCTGTGTGGGGCGGATAGCTGGGCTCTGCCTGAGGACGCTCTTAGCATGATGAATGAGATGTTTCTAAAGTGAAACAGTAATAACGTGGGGTAAAGCAAGTGTCATTGTAGGTGTTCCCTGGTATCGGTTCTAGCGTGTATAGTTTTCCTTTCTGGGCATCATTTTTAGGGGAAAAAAAAATTGGCTTGGTGAGAGCAGTTCAGGGAGAGAAGTGTGCCATCCTAGTGAAAGCAAAACCTGTTCTTCTTGTGTACACTTTCAAAATATGCTAGCTGAATCTTGTTTTAAATTACTGGCTCAAATATAAGCCTGCGTCAAAATAAATAAGGGTAGAGGGAAGGATGGGAAGTTTCACCTGAGACAAAATAAGTAGGGGAAAAAAAAATAAAAAGTAAGTTTCTTTACAAGAAGCAGTGGCTGATATTAAGCAGTCAAATACAGCCTAAAGACTGAAATATAGAACCCAGCTACCAGCCTCAGTACTGGACAGTCCAAAGAGAAAACCCAGCATTTGCCCCCAGATATTTCTGTTCGTTTTGTGTGTGTTCTCCCACTCCATATTGGACGTAGTTTTCCCCTGAGTGGATTACTTTATTCCATGTTTCTTTCAGGTCAGGTCCTGGTAGACACCAAGAATATATGTTCTTGATGTACTAATAGATCCTGAGGAGCTGTAAGAGCATTTGCCACTGTGGGGGATGAAAGCAGTGTCATTTGGAAAGCGTTCGCCCTCCTCTGGGCAAGAGCCAGAGACAGGAGGGAAAATAAACACACTCTGTGCTAGGAGGGCGTGGGTGGCTCTGCAGGTTGGCACGGAAAAACAAATGAAAACAGATTAATAAGAGAAGGTTTGCGCAAAAGATGCAAATTAATCTAGATAGAAAATTTTATGTCCCCACTGTCTGTGTTGCTTCTTAGACACTGCTATGATAACAACAAAAATTGCTTAGGTTTCTTTTCTGTTCCTCAGTTAAAAAATTAAAAGTTTGTAGTGTTCATCTACAATTATTATTGGCTTTTGAAAACAATATATGAGTTAGAAAATAGTCATGCTTAAGTATTCATAGCATACTCCAACTTCGTGCAAGCCTATCAGTTAGTGTAACTGTAAGGTATTTGTAATACCATTATGTCTTGAGATTGTAACCACCCCTGGAACTGTATTATACTGTACAAAAGCGAAATGGGGGAAAGCCCCTGTCCTGAAGTCAGCAATGTAAGAAGACTGGCTCCCTTCCCATCTTACCTCCCACTCCAAATGGGGAAAAAGACTAAACAGAATTTTCTAATTGAAATTTGATGTGACAAGTCCTGTCTGTAGGACACTGTTCTGACCTCCAGCTCTCATAGTCTCCATATGGTTCATCAAGAACAAAGAAAATGATATTTGTGCTAGTCTCAAAAAGTCTGTATTGCCAGTGCTGTTCTCATAGGATATTGTCTGTCTTGAGATAAATGACCCTATTTGCAGCAAGTACTTGACATGAATAGCAGATAGCAGAAATGAGGTCTAAATCTTAACTAATGCAAGTATCACTGTACCTTGGACACATATTATGCTTGATCCCAAATTTTCTCAGTAAATCATGATAACATATTCACATTATGAAGGGAAAATAAAAATATATTTAAATTTTTATTCCTTTGTTTGCTGCTTTGACCCTGATAGATCTCAGGAATATTGTGCGGAGGTTAGAGTGTGTATAAGTACATCACATCATGTTCTGAAACATCAGTGAGCACTTTGGTCACCTAAAAATAAACTGAAAAAGCACCAGTCCAGATTGTCTAGCTCTTGTCTCTTATTTATTGAGATTTAACATTGTGCTGTTTGAGCATAGTTTAGAGGACTTCTATCCGTGCTGCTTTCTGCAGGTACAGACACTTCTGATCTTTGATGGCAGGAGATTCAATGGAGGACGGGACTGCAGTGGTACGTGCTAGCTGCAGCATTCCTTTTATTGATAGGCATCATAAATTGCCAGCCCAACCTAAAATGTGTGTGTGCCTATTACTAAAACAAGGCAGTTCATTCACCTCTTACTTTCTCTCCAGATTTAAGACTATATGGTAAACAGTTGTACACAGTGTATCTATGGACAGAAAAATCTCTGGGGGAGGGTGCTGTTAGTAATACTGTATGCCCTCTGCCGGAGCGAATCCTGCCTTCTGGTGTGTAGAAATTTTGTTGGCATAGGGAGTTGCAACTATGCCAGTGGGTTTTTTTTAATCCACCTTTTTGAATAGGTTACCTTACTTTTCAATTTTCTTTAATGTTTTACATGAATGATAAAATAGGACAGATAAATCCTTGGTTGATATGGGAAAAAATGCCATCTGTGAAAACTTAGTTACTACTACCTGGTATTGCTATATATTTTGTGCTTTCTTATCCCAGGCAGCAGGAGGTATGACATATTCTCCCTGAAGCTGCAGTAGCACAATTGAATCTGCTGTGTAATCAATAATTCCTTAACTGTGCTGACAAATACCCATTGATTGTTTTTCCTATGAAGACTTTCAGCCATCCTGTCCCCTTGAACAAGCTCTGCCTTGTCTGTAGTTCTATTTAATACTTTGCAGAATTGCAAATCAGAATCTTAAATATACTTATACTTGTTTGGTTCCCAACCAGAAATCAAGCTGTGACAGATTGGGAGTTCTGCCTATGTACAGCTAATGAATTCTGGTCAAAGTTAAGGAATTGCTGTATCATCAAATACCTTGGCATGTCAGAGTGAGAAAAGGCTGTGAAGGTTATTTCATATAGTTTCAAAGGCAGGGGCCATTGAGGAGGTTCATTAAATTTTAATGGTTTCCATTTAGATAGCAGCACTTTGAGACAATGACATGACAACACCGAAGTAAAACCATCCTTTTCCCAACTCTATCCTGGCAACTAAGGTTTGGAAAAAGGCAAATTTCCAAACAGAAAATAGAAATCTGATGTTTCAGCTGTGTCATGGAAAATGGAAAACTTGTGGCTAGACTGGTGAGAGGCCTCCAGGCTCTACATAGCTGAGCCAATGGAGGAGGTATAGGTTGTGGCTTTCATAACTTGCTTCCAACAGAGACAGCTGGGTTTAGCTTAAGCAGCTGTGGAAGGTAGCCTGACCTTAATCGAGCTGTCTGCATCTCATCTGGGCAGAGAAAAAGGCTCCCCCTTGTGAACCCCTCTGCCTGCACAGCTGGGATGAGGTGGGCATGGGTGGAAAAGAACAAGGAGCTGCTGAGGGCAGTAGGGTTTTCAGGTATTATGGCTAGATACAAACAAAAATACCTACCTATGGTCTGATAATCTAAGATAAAAAAAAAAGAAGGTAAGAGTTTAGAAGGAATCTTAAGTGCAAAGTGGATGAGCGGAGAAGAACAAAAATTTGTAGTTGGTGAGGCCTCTTTATTTGAAGGACAAGTTCAAGAAACAGCCTGCAAAGGACAGACAGAATTGCTGTGTGAATGAGAGAATATACAGAACGTCCCTGCCATCCTGAGAGATAGATTCAAACTGCACTTGGAAATGTAATAAAAAAACGAAGCACGGGGAAGCGTATGGATGATTGTACTTTTAGCCAGATCTGCATATTTCTCATGGAGAATAACATGGTAAGTAGGTGGTTTTGGAATTCTGATAATATTTGTGCATTTAATTCTTCAGTACATGTTCCTGAAGGAGTGCCTGAATAGTAAAGTCCAAATGCCCTGTGGGTTAGACATGTGGGAAAGGGTGCACATAAGGTAGAAGAAGTTTGAGAGGTGTAGCGGTAGGCAAAAGCAAAGAGGTGAGTTGTGAGGTTCCCTTTCTGGGAAGGAATGGCACAGGAAGTCTGCATCCAGGAAATAAGACAGGGAAGTCGAAACAGGAGGTGCTGCAGTTAGACTAAAAGAAGCATGAGAGCATGCGGGTGGACAAAACCACAGTAACCTAGTGAATGCCAGCTGAGAGGATCAACTAATGCTTTGATGCATGCCATTTTTAGGTAAACAGTTCCATAGTCTGGAAACTGAGTAGTATGGCATTGAAGGTTTTATGTCAATTTTCTCAGTAACACTGGAAAGAAAACATTCTTCCTGTTTTGCAAAATTAAAAAAAAATAAAAAATAAAAAATGATTCTCCACCAAGGCCGTGGTGAAAAACTGGCAAGGGAGAAATGAGAGCTATCTGAAGAGAGATGTATCTTAATAGTTGGATTGAAGATAGAGGTTGTTAGGTAGAAACCTAGATTGAAGTGCTTGCTCTGCTGAGAGTGCATCCAAAGTGGGTGCTGTGCTTACTTGAATGATTCTAGTTGTCCCTCTGCTGTTGAAATTTGTTCTATTTAACCTGACTAGCCACATCCAAAATAAGAAAGGAGTTTTAAAGTCTAGATTACAGAACTTGCAGAGATATAGGGGATCTAGAATCAAATCTTGGATGTCTCAGAGTTGGAAGTTCAAATCCTTGGAGTTCAACAGTGGACTGTCTGGATGATTTGCTTACCTGCTTTAAAAAAAAAAACCAACAACCCTCCCCCCCCCCCCAACAAAACCAAACAAAAACCTCCCAAAAGACACAAGCAACACTCCTCCTTCCCCCTGCCCCCAATTCCCTACCTGCCTTAGCTGTAAAAGCACTGATTTGATTTATTTTCTATATAAAAACTGTATTGTTCTAATTTGCTGAATGATTAAATCAGTGAGCATTTCATTATCTTTTTAAATTCCATGCTTATGAACACTTTCCCTATCTACATAATACAAGATATTAATTGAAGCTGTTTTTTTCATTAGGACTTAATTTGCTTTTGTTTTTTTTAAAGTTCAGGGAAAGGGTATCTACATTGAAAAATAGTTTAAGGTATTAGAATATCTATTACTGCAAACCTTTCAGTATAAGGAACGTGTTTTCCTTAAATATATTCATTTCTACTGTAATTTCTGTTGCAACAAAAAGAAGGGATTGCACAGCAGTTGTGTCTGATTTCAGATTAGTCCGTTTTCATCTCTGAGCTCGGGAAGGAAGCCTACAATTGTCCTGGTTTCAGCTGGGATAGAGTTAACTGTCTTCCTAGTAGCTGGTACAGTGCTATGTTTTGAGTTCAGTATGTGAAGAATGTTGATAACACTGATGTTTTCAGTTGTTGCTCAGTAGTGTTTAGACTATAGTCAAGGATTTTTCAGCTTCTCATGCCCAGCCAGGGCACCTGACCCAAACTGGCCAACAATGTATTCCATACCATCTGACGTCCCATCTAGTTTAGGAACTGGGAAGGGGGGGCGGGGAATTGCGGCGCAGGGACAGGCTGGGTGTCGGTCGGCGGGTGGTGAGCAATTGCCCTGCGCATCATTTGTACATTCCAATCCTTTTATTACTACTGTTGTCATTTTATTAGTGTTATCATTATCATTATTAGTTTCTTCTTTTCTGTTCTATTAAACCGTTCTTATCTCAACCCAGGAGTTTTACTTCTTTTCCCGATTTTCTCCCCCATCCCACTGGATGGGGGGGAGTGAGTGAGCGGCTGCGTGGTGCTTAGTTGCTGGCTGGGGTTAAAGCATGACAACAATATAATTTGATGATTATTCATTGTTATAGGTCTTTATGATTCAAAGTGCCAATGGCAGCCTGGACATGAGTTAATATTACCTAAATACATTTCCAAAGTATCAAACTAACATCGAAGCAGATATTCTTTGCACATAGATCTGCGATTAAATTATTGCCTCCCTTTGTGGCCCTAAAATGACAGAAGGAAGGGGCCAAAAGAGAGAGGGTAGGCTATATTTGTTGCGTCTGCTACACTAAAAACATACCAAAGGTGCTTGCAGGATGCTCCCATGGAGAACACAGTGCTAGAGCAGACTGCTGTTTAAGCAATGCTTTTGCAGGTTTTGTGGATGCATTAGCAGCTTGTGGATATAAATGCTTGGCCGTACTCAACCATCAGAACAGGTATTAATTTATTCAGTGCTGTCCTGACGGTCCCTGGCATGCTTCATGTCCCATACCTTCATCCCACAAGGCTGTGGCTGCTGGCATAATGTGCCTCACTGTACAGGACTTCTGGCTGTTGGGTTTTATGTGTAGCCTTATAGATGTTTTCTGTTTCCCATGGCATCATGGTAGTAAAGGCGAAAGCTGAATAGAATCACCTGTGAGCTTGGTCTAGAACCCAAACGATCAGTAGTGTCAGCACTAGCGTATAGGGGAAGAAACAGCTTTTAAGATTAAGTCAGAAAGTTTCCCATTTTCCACTGAAAGCAAAAGAGATTTTTGAGAATGTAGTTGCTCGTATCAAGGTACTTAGTTATTTTTTGTGGAAAGTAAGTGAAAGCGAAGCCCCTGCTAGCCTAATATTAAGACACATAGTGTTTTGCTCTGAAAGTTTGTCTCCATTTTGCATTGTTTGGAGAAGAGTCTTACTGTGACACTCTACCACCTACACACCCAAACCGCTGAGCTTTATGTTATCTTTAAATTAGCTTCCCCCAATAGCTAATAGTTTTATCTTCTTAAAATCAAGCAGTCTGAAAAAGTTCCACCTTCCTGGTTTAATATTGTACTATGTTGTGGTTGGAGAGACACACGGTGCCTTCAGAGGAGGTGGAAGTAAACCCATCCCGTCTGACTATCTGGGCCCATTCTTCCAGTTATGGTGTTCTATTTCCTCCTTGCAGCTGGACTAAGGGTAAATTCCTCTCCTTTCAACCGACACAGCTGCTTCATAGGCTGCCATGGAGATATATTTTTGCAGTGTGAGGTATTCGCTACCGTGCAGCAATTCCTGTTTGCTTTATAATAGCAGGTTTTGATTGTGAATTCCTAGAGTCAAAGCTAAAAATAAAACCTCTTCTTTGCTCATATGTGAATAAAGAACATTTTCAGTTAGGTTGAAATATTTATTAATCTACACTGAGGAACTGATTTGGAAGAAGATGAATTCTTTTTCCAAATACACTTAAATCCAATGAAAGGCTATGAATTGGAAATTATTTATAATATAAATATGATTTTATAATATAAAATATGAATTATTTTAAATCTTGTTGTTTGGACTTATCCCTGAAATTGCAGGACAGGATGCTAGGACTGTCCCAGTCAGTCAGGGTCCAAACTGTAGCTATTGTGTCATCCTGTAATCGAGGATGAATCCTATTCCTGTGTTGAAAGTGTAAGTTTATGGCAGTTTAGGATTAATATTTTTAAACCAAAGTGGGATAATGTAATGGTCTAGGGTAGTCCTGATATTAAGTATTGAAAATATGCCTATGTATAGGTATGCTCAGTAAAATTGGGAGTCCAAGTTCGAAAGTTCCAGAAATGCATGGAACTCAAATTTCTGTATAAAAAGCTTTATTATAGTTTCATTAAGAGTCATTAAGGGACTGTGTACCACTTGTTTTAGTGATATTGCTTTCAGCATTACTGTCTACCATTGTCAATATTTAACTTGTCTGAAAGTAAATTGTTTTGTCAAAACAGTCGTAGGAGACACAAACCAAAATAAAACAACAATTTTTTATTTTTTTTTACAGCTATCAATGCTGATTATAGTCAGAATGTAATGGAAGAGGAATTGGCAGGAGAATTCTCAAATAACAAAATTATATTAGCACATTATTTTACCTTATTAGCATTCTCAAATTTTTATTTCTCAGTAAAAAGCTCCCTGTAAGCAATTAAATGTGAGTAGTCTGTCTTGAATCTGCTCAAATATGTAAGATTAAATAAAAAAAACTTTAACGTTCCCAAACAACTTTTACTTACTCTAAGAAATAATTGAGGAGAGGTTAATTAAATGTCTAAGTAGCTGGAATCCTGTTACAGGTGACAACTCTGGCTTCAGTTCTGCAGAATATTGTTGTGATCATTTTCTAGTATTAAACACATGTGATTTAATCAGGTGTTCTCCTCTGATTGCAGATTGTTTTAAACTTCACCACCATGGACCTTTACAAGAGCAGTCTCTGTTGGTACGACTACATTGAAGTAAGAGATGGCTACTGGAGAAAATCACCTCTGCTTGGTATGCAACTGTTGAATGCTGCACTGTCCATAGTTACCATACTCATTGAGTTCAGTGGACTTGCTTGATGTTGAACCCACAACAAACCTCTTGGTTTTTAGGTGCCCAGAATGTATCTAAACTTGGGGGTGGGAAAAAACTCTAAATGGCCTCAAATAAGTTGTTTGTTTGACTTCAAGCCTCAAGCCTTCCTTTCATTGCAGCTAGCTGTTATTCAGCCGCATGTGTGGAAAGATGAAAACTACAAAATGTGCAACTTTTTGCTTTGCTTATGAAATAGGAAGTTGCCATAGTTTTGTTCACAGAAATGGGGAAATAGTATACAGACAAATCTGTAGAGCATGTGATGGGAAATCCACAGAGCACATGATGAGCACATGCACTGTGGTTGAGAGCACCCACTGTAGAGTTGTGCTTATGAGCTCTGTTCCTGTACTTTTAAAATTATGAATAGAAGATTACTTCTATTTCTTCTTTGCACGTCCTTCCCTGCCCTTGCAGAGAAAAGACATGCAAAGCAATAATGAACTAAGTCTTAGAGTTGCAACTAATGCTCAGAAAGCTGCAGCCATCCTTTTCTTGAATCAGACAGAGGGTTGGTGGGGAGATTTCACACGCCATGATGATCTTCTCTGATTGAAACTGGGGATTTCAGAGCATAGGAAACATGAACACCTCCAACTTCTTGGGTCAGTTTTGTTGTTTTTAGAATGAAGACTAAAACTATTTGTTAGTGTCCTAACATCCTTAATTTAAAACCAGCAAAACAGAAAGGAAAGGAAGCAAATACAGAGGACAGATTTTTAACAGGAGTGCCTATTTTCTTGGCCTTACAAAGAACAGAAAGAGGAAACAATTAAGACCACCCAGTAATTATCCTTTTCTCCTGTTCCCTTCTCTATCACCTCGACAAACAGAAATTTCACCTATGTAGGCTGAATTCAAGAGGATAATATAGTCCAGGGTCATTTGGATGTTAGTTTTTAAATCTCTCTGGTCCTTAGATGCAATGAGCAGTATTATTACTGTGGCCTAGATTATGTTCCTCTCTTAAGATTAGTACTCACTTTCCCCTTCCAAAATGCCTGGGTTTGTATGTATAGAAGCAATCTATAACAATAATTTTTTTAATGGATTCCCCTAAGGTTTTATACTTAGACTTGTGAGCCTGACTGCCATGAAAAGAAGTACTGAAAGCTTTATAATAAAATCTTTGTGTATTAGGTCCTGATCTGCAGAAACACATGTGCTTAACCATAAGCGTGTGAATAGTTCCACTGAGTTGGTTATGCTACTCCTGTTTATAATGTTAAACACTTGTATAAATGTTTGCAGCGTTTGGCTTCAGAGGCGGCAGAAAATGCAGTTACTGGTTGCATGTTTTTAGGCAGGTTTTGTGGTGACAAACTGCCAGAAGTCCTCGCATCCTCTGACAGCAGGATGTGGATTGAGTTCCGCAGCAGCAGCAACTGGGTTGGGAAAGGTTTTGCAGCAATTTATGAAGGTAAGCCTCTTATAGCATTAAAAATGTCTTGATTATAGAGGAAAAATATTAACCGGATACCTTCTGCTATTAAAAAAAAAAAAGTCAGAAATAACCTGATATGAAATCGGTATTGTACTACTAAAAGAGACAGTAGGTGTTAACTGACTAGACAGGACATTTTGAAACTCTTCCCGTGATCAGATTTCAGATGACCTCTTTTCCAGGGATACCACTGATAATATTCATAAGCATTTTTTACCAGTTGTTTAATTAACCAAATGTGCATGTTCTTGTGCTTAGTGTGTGGAAAGATTTTTTTTTTTTTTTTTTTTGAGTACTTTCTGTTTTTTTTTCAGAAAAATCTGACTAAAGTTTTCCATATGCTCTGGGATTACTTAATAGAGACACTCCCACACACTGAGTATATTAGCAAGTCAACATTCACCTGTTTAAAATAGAGCCTCTTTTCTTAAATATTGAATCTATGGTAGTAAACTGTATGATATAGTTGATATTCACAGATCTTTACATGATTACCAGTATGGACCTTTGAAAAGTGCATTTACTTTTCATGAAAATATTTTTTTATTTATATTAGCTGTTTCTTCAAATTCAGTGTAAGCTTGAAGTGATAAACGGTAGATTAAAATGCATAGGTCATTATAAAATATGAGATTTTTCTCTCTCATTTGTCTCTTTCTAAAGGTTAGTAAATATTAATGAAGAATGTTTATTAAATATATTTCAAAGGTAAAAAAATGTAAAATTAGATTATTTTGACCCTTTAAATATATTCTGTAAAATGTCTAAATTCAGATTATCTATGATTCCAAAGTCTTCCTGAACATTGTAGACTTGTTTAGAGCTGCTAGAAATGCTGAATTATATTCTCTAACTGAAATATGTGTAGTGGTTTAAATGGATTGTGTTTTCAATAATTTGTCCTTGGTAGACTTTTTAAGTTTTCTTCAGAATAATCTTATCATTAGTTTTAAAAAGGGAAGCATAAAATGTCAGTTTGGGCATGGGGAATAGAAAACGTCATTACTGACAATAAGAATTTTATGCTTTTATCAGCTATCTGTGGCGGTGAAATCCACAAAAATGAAGGCCAGATCCAGTCTCCCAATTATCCTGATGACTACAGACCAATGAAGGAATGTGTGTGGAAAATAACAGTGTCAGAAAGCTACAATGTAGGATTAACCTTTCAAGCATTTGAGGTAAAGCCTTTTAACTGATCTCAGAAAAGCATCTAGTGGATAAGTGACAGTGACATTTAAGGGAATCCTCATTAAACCTGTGCATGAATTTAAGAATTCTCTATGAAAAGTAAGCTCCAGAATCCAATTCTACTCTCCATGAAACCTTTCTTTCTGCAAATATTTCCAAGAAGATTAAAGGTTTTTCATGTCTTTTTATGCTATTTGAAGTAGAACATTTAACGTACTGGCAATAGTCACAGGTTTAGCAAATACATAATCCAGTTCAGCAAGGCTGCTTTAATATTCTGTTAAATAATTGGGATTTTTTACCTTTGCTAAATCTTATTGTTAAAAAGGAATGTCTATCTGGAAAGAAACCACTGTGGGTTTTGGCTTCCGTTTTGAGAAGAAAGGGGAAAAAAAAAAGCCTACTTAAATTCAGTTTACAAACCTTTATTTAGAGAAGGAAACCTATATTTAGAGAGGGAAGAAAAAACCCATGGTGAGTCATACTTGCATGTCTTTAGTGTACATCACTTTGTGTATAAATTTGCTAAACAGCAGTAAACTACTGTGTAGCAAAGAAAAATAATATTTCATATGTCTTTTTATGCATACTGATACACTGGCTTGAAGCTTGTAGATAAATTTAGTAACATAGTTTGAGTTCATTTATTTTATTTGAATATGCTTCAACAGTAATGATGCGAACGCTTTTTTAAAATCTAAACTTTTTGGCTTTATGGTGCACATAAATATAAACACAGCTATAGTAAATACAGATATAACTTTTAACCTGTAATTTTAGTCTTACTGACAGACTTCATAGGTATGGCACATTTTTGCTATGACTGGTGAAAGGTCTGAGTATGAGATAACAAGGGCTTGGGACTTTATCAGCAATTATGAATATAAACAACAGACTTTTAATAATTTCACAGATTCTACTCCATTTTCCCTTTTTCATATCCTGAATTAATGTTGGGTCTAGTGCAGACGAGATCAGCTCTCCCTGCCCAAAGAGTTTTCCAATACTATTCAGACTCTGCATGGCCTGGCTCAAGACTACTTAACTGAGTGTGTCAGTCTCTCTTTTTAAGCACTGTTGAAAATGAACAATGTTTTCAGTAACTTTATATAATTTACTGACTAGATATGAAGCTTTTCTAGTCTGCCATTGGTGCTTGGTATTTTTTAGTGTGATCCCTAGAGAAATGGCACTATGCCTCTGCATAAGAGAGTTGCCAGAGTGTTTGATCTCCATGCAGATGCTCAGCGTTGGTTTAGACGCACAGTACATTATTGCTTGAATTGACCCCAGTTCAATATCACCTCTGGGAGAATCAAACTTCCATCTCTTCTTATCTTCCAGGACCTTTTTCTAATCACCAAATTATGGACTATTTGCAAGGCTGAAGATGACATGTTCATGCCCCACCATATAGAAAACGATTAGAAGCAAAGGAGCAGCAAATGAGAGCACAATTTAGTAGGCTAGTGGTTAAGGCTGTAAGAAGAAATGTCCATTTTTTTTCCCCCAGACTATTTAGTGTTATGGCACTCTCTAGAGGTGAAACACGTGGACTGACACCTCATAAGAAGAAAGAGGAAATTGAGCAGAAGCATAGTTGAGTGCTAGTCTCAAATTAGTGCCTCTGCGAGATGTGTTTTGAAAGAAAAAAAAAAATAAATCCAACAGTAGGGACTTGAAAGGTACATACTTTTCCAGGGAGAGTCTGAGCTGTGATTCCAGAGTGGCAAGATGCCCTTGAGCACCAAATGAGGTGCCCCAGAAAGGCACAAAACTTCTGTTATATCTGTCTTCGCAGCGTTTCTTACTGGCTCGTCCACAGGGCTCCCCACTGAGAGTGAGAGTTGCTTTGGAAACCGCTCTCAAGTGCCTTGCCTAGACATTCACCATTGGGTCTGATTTCCATTTCAGGTCCAAGCGCCTGAACGTAGGTGTTCTGTTTTTTGGTACGAAGTCCCTCTCTGGACTGAATCCTTGGTGCACTGCCCAGTAAAACAAGAAGTTGTTTAAGAATCATAGTTCTTTGTGCCAGCTGAGATCAAAAAAAGTAAATGTCAGGCCAAAGAGTTATTGCAGCGTGTTTGTGAGAAAATTACTTCTCTGTCGTTTGAAAGGTACAGTTAAGTAAGAGGAATTCTCATTATCCATATGTAATGCTAGAAAAAATAACTGTATAAATAACCTTTGCTTTGAAATGAAAGCACTAGGGAAGCTGAGAATTTCAAACTGTATCAATGAGTCATCTTGTTTTGCCTGCTGTGGGCAGTGCATTTTCCACTGAGTGTGGGATTACCCTTTCTTATTTGGCTGCCTGATGATGGGCAGCCACACTTTCCAGTATCTAGATGGCAGCAGGAAAGTTGGGACTGGTAACTCCATCTTTTTGTTTCATTGTTATAACCACCTTTATTATATTGTTCTTTGAAAATTAGCAGTCCTTGTATTTATTTTTTTTTTAAAGAACTTCTGTTGGCACACGGTCTCACCAGCTAAGACAATCCAGAGAGTTTGTAGAGCTGAGCCATATCAATCTTCCTCATTTGAGTGGCCCTCTTAATCTTTTTGCAGATAGTGTTCATTTAAATTATTTTTATGTAAGTCAGGGAATAAAATTTATCTGATCTTCTGATTCCACTAGGCATATATCCCACCTTTTATGACTGAAGTCTGTGACCTGAGTCAGATATGTTTACCTGTACTGGAATTTGACTCCATCAACAAATAAATTAACAATGACAAGAAGTAACTGGAAGTTTTCTCCTGAAATATCATGCCTCCCAGATTTGCTCTTCAAATCCTCTTCTCTTCCTTTTTTTTTTTTTTTTTTTAATATATATATTTTTTCTGTTGGGGGAGTGCTACAAAACAAAGGTAGTCTGGAATTTTTAACCAAACATATTTTAGTCTAAAGTAATTGTTATTTTCAAAACTGAAACAACATACAAGGAATTTTCTTTTGAGAATGGATGTTGAGAATGTCTCTGGCTTTCCATTTCACCAGGAGATTTCTTAGTGTTTTCCTGTCCTTATGTACCTGTCTTAGGAATTTTTCTGGCATTTTCTCAACGTAGTTCTCTAACGCCACTCAAACCCTGTGTTTGCTCCAAGGCCTTCAGGAGCTGATAGTATCTTTCATTCTCCTATAAGCAATACATTTTTCTGTAAAACCTATTTATTTATGCTTTTTTACATTTGCTAACATTTTGCATATTTCTCCTCATCCACATGTAATATCAATCTTGTGAAATTTTAATGCTCCAGTAAATAAGGTTTGCAGAATCAGCCCAGTTACAACTAGACTCACTGGAAGTCCTTTCATTAACTTGAGGAGATTTTCTACACTTGTAGTAGGAAGAATAAGAACTATTGCAAGTGTAATAGATCTTTGTATGGCAGTGTTCCCAGATGGTAGTACCACGACATCTTAAAACCTGAGGTACAGATAAGCAAAGCACATTTTATGCTAGTTCTTTTTCATTGGTTACCAAGCACCTTAACACCGGTTACCATTTCTCAAAAACACAATATTTATCTGTTAGTTTATATATAGGTGTAACAATTTAATCACTTAATATAATAATATTGATAATAATAATGGCATCACTCGCAGTAGTAGTACACTAAAAATAAATCAATATGGTAGAATGACCACCTTTCGAATTGTTTTATTGAAAATCAATAGCACTTTATAAGTTGTTTGGTCTTTATAGTCTTAGGAAGTTTAGCAACTTACTGCGAAACAAAATGTATTTTTAGCTGTTGTCTTCTGCCAAAAATAGAGTGATTCTCAGAAAAGAAACTAACAATTCACCTCAAAGGGAATTTGGTACGTGTAACTCAGAGCTGCACGTGGCCTGTGAAAAATCATAATTTCCACATTGCCCCATAGAACATGGAAATGTGGAAAAAACAGATGTTAATTAAAAGTCTTAAGTAGTGAAATGACCACAGACATGTGTGGGGAAAATACACAATTTCTTCATTGATATTAGTAGGCTTTGGACCACGTCACTTTTTTCTACATCAAAGTGCAATATGATTTTTACTGAGATGACAAGGCAGACTTTGTTTCAGATTGGAATATGATTTCATGTGTTTAAACTTTATTATTTAGATTAATGAAAATTTGGACTCATTAATACAATGTCAAAAATATATCAGCGCTCAGGTAGACATATGTCTGACCACATTAGTTGCAAACATACACTTGCCCTTGAAGTCAACAATAGGTGGTTGCATCCCAGATCTTCATGGCTTTTCTCACTCATTTCCCAAACTTTGGCCCAAAGCAATTCCTCAGCAAGCAGCTAAGAAATTACAGTAAATGGCAATATGGATTGTGCCAGAGAAGTGAGTGGGAGAAAATTACGTATGTAAATGCTTGAAGAATTGGAAAGTTGGAAAGAAGACAGACAAATTTTGTGTGTGCCATATTTTGATGCCATTAAAATGAAATAAAATCAAACAGTCCCTTCCCCCAATTTTCCCTCTTACTTAAAAGAAGCAGAAATCCTAATGTGCTAAATGAAAGCTCCTTAGTCTGTGGTGGTTACTGAGCTTAGTGTTGGTCATAATGCACAATTAGAGCAGAGTGCCAGCAGCCACTTGTATTAACTGTGCAGCTTATGGGCAAGAAAAACTCTGTCTGGAGATAAGATGTGGATTTTTCTAGGTTTGGTTTGGCTTTGACTTGTCATTTTAACAGAATTTGGATGTGCTGAATTAAATTTGAGGCTTCTCCAACCCCTTCACCCTGACTGTGGTCCCATCCCCCCCGCCCCCCCAAACCTACCTCATGATTCAACCACTTAGTTGAACAATAGCTTTCTTAGTGGAATTATTTTTGAATGCTTGGATTTAGTTAATTCTTTTGTAACTAAGATGCTATATTGCTTGAGTAATGTGAAGTAGTCCTGCAGTAAAATGACCCAGATAAGAGGGCTTTTCATTCTGTTAGGAAAGATACTCTCTCAATAAAGACAGGCATCATAAATTATCTAGGCTCAGGATAGGATCATATTTGGGCTGCTACTGCTTTCTTCTTTCGTGCAGTTCCCACTCTGATTCTCCAAATACTATTATGTAAAGAGCACAAGGCTTGCTACCCAAGTAGAAATGCACACATGTCCTCTCACATATTAGTCTATGTTTGGATGTCATCCAGCAGGACGTTTAAATGAGAGGGACATTTTCAGTTGTTCTAGTTTCAGTAAGTTTCTCCGTCAGTATGGCAACTATTCACTCATTGATCCAGAAAGTCAAAAGAAGACAGCTGAAATTAGGAATTGTGCAACAGAAGCCAGGCACGTCAGCTGCAGAAAAATAATGATGATTTTTTTTGGTCATCTGTTCTATTGGGTACTTAAGAGCTGATAATTTTAGAAGTGTGTTTGGATCTAATTCCACAGATGCCCCAAACTCTTAATGCACTGTAATTTTTTACAGTTACCCTGCAACATCAGTGGGTAGTGATGAAGATAAAATTTTGCACTGTGTTGAGGATAAAGGAAGAAGATAATAAATTGATCACCACCTGAAATAGCACAGGTTGATAGTGTCTAAAAAATCTTATTCATATTAATCAAAATTGAGCTTTTTAATATTTCAAAACCAACTAATATTTCTGACCTGTTTAGTTGTTGAACCATTAATCTTGTATACTTAAGTGTACATGAGAAAACAGGACTCTACTTGGGCTCAGAGGAGGAATTTGACAGAACATTAGGAAGCTTAGAGGTGAGCGTGTCTTTTTAGTTACTTTTTTCCAGTTAGACTGTTGTGTCCCGTGTAACATCTTAACAATTTTTTCTTGTAGAAAACAAGTTTAGTTAAAAACAGTCCAGTGATGCTTGTCCATCTTCCTGATGTTTGAACCCTAAACAGAGAACCCTAAACTTAACTTTGAAAAATTTATCTTCTGTTTATTATCTGATTGATATTTGATATTTATGGTGAAGTTCAAATAGGTCACTTTAAAAATAATTTTTTACAGATTGAAAGACATGATAACTGTGCATATGACTACTTGGAAATTCGAGATGGAACAAATGAGAACAGTCCTTTAATTGGTCACTTTTGTGGCTATGACAAGCCAGAAGACATTAGATCTACCTCTAATACCCTGTGGATGAAGTTTGTCTCTGATGGAACTGTTAACAAAGCAGGGTTTGCAGCTAACTTTTTTAAAGGTAAATGTTAAAGCATATTTTGGGAGCTGTGAACTGCTTATCACTTTTTTTGTACTAGAAAAATTATGACAGAATATTAAAAATATTTCTCAACCTATTTTTACTAATATCACTTCTGTACTGTCTCCAGCATATTTTTTACCTTGGCATACAACTTTATCAAAACAAAACAGTAGAGGTATTTGTATCTCCTTGTAAAGTATGTCCAAAGAATGAAGGAACATATTAAGTGCAACTTCCTACTCTCTTCAGGTTCAAATAATCAGCTTAGTTCTGAAACACCTTTGAAACATATCTAATCTTGTTAAAAAAATGGCTTTTTTGACATTGTGTTAACAAATATTAAGTTAAATATTATAATCACAAATGGATCTTTTCTGTTAAGGTGTTTTTCTTTTGTCTAAATGTTGTGGTTTTTCTAACCTGTTTGTTGCATTAGGCTGCTTTATCAATTTTATTACTTTCTCTGAGCAAGGAAAAAAACCCAAACCAGCTGAGAAATTATAGTGACCAACGGCCTCACAGTCTTCCTCCAGTTTTAGGGTGCGTGCGTGTGTGTGTGTGTGTGTGTGATACAACTGCAGCTACGCCTGCAGCATTTGGTGCGTGGGGAGTGTGTAATTCCTACCCTGTGCTGCCCAAGGCACAGTGAAAGCCACTAGCAGTGGTGTGGCCATGGTGACACCTGAAATACAGGTCAGGCCACCAGGAGAACCTTTTTGCTCTTTTGAAAAGCCAGAAGCTGGGGCTTTTCTTACTCTAACTGTTAGTTTTCACTGTAGACAATCACAACCTTGAAGGCTGTAGACATGAGAGTGGGAGCTCGTTTATTCCTAAGAAATTACTTGTCCTCCTGTAAGGAAACAAAATTTCAATGTCTGACGAATATTTTAACAATGAATCTCGTGGGTATACTTCAGAGCTGGTAGAGATAACACATTATTCCTTTCCCTCCCCCATCCCTGATGCATCTTGTTCCCTTTAATATCAGTAGAATGAAAACCTGGGATTTGGGGATTCTGTTAATCTGTTTTTGAGTATGAATTCGGGATAATGCACAAATTGATTCCGTGGGAGATAAAGTGCCCTTCAAGTGACCCTGCTGTGGATTTTCAATCTTTCTTTCAATACTTTATACAACCTTTAGATTCTGGCTGCCTGAATTATTGTATGCTGCCCACAAAGTGCTTATAAATTAGGTCTGCAGCTGTCAGTAGGTATTGTTGTAAAAAAACCCACCCAAACCCCACAAAGGACAAATTTTTATTTTCTCCATTGCAGGTCTCTTTAGCATTTGAAAATCCTCTAGTCAGCAACCACAGTGTATTATGTAGTGTACCTTATAATAGCATGCATACAGCTTTCTGGGTTAATATCGATCCAGCAATTACAGCTGAGGAAGGTAATTATTTAACACATTTTTGCATTCTTCCCTGTCTTGGCAGAGGAAGATGAATGTGCCAAACCTGACAATGGTGGCTGTGAGCAGCGCTGTGTAAATACTCTGGGCAGTTACCAGTGCGCCTGTGATCCTGGCTATGAACTTGGTCCTGACAAAAAGAGTTGTGAAGGTACAGTGCGTTGCTGTGTTATGGGCTCTTAAAGCTCACAGAGTGCCATCGCTTGAATGAAATGCTACATCTTTCATATGCTCTGTCCTAGCAGTGCGAGATCTGTGGAACCCAACCTGGAAAACCAGTGCTCCCTTTTAAGTAGTGGTGCCAGAGTAATGTCTGTCCACAGCAGTCATGTTCATCCGATGTCTGTCACTAATTTAGCTTTACAGGTTTTGCTGTTAGTCGATCGGGAATGATGCAAAGCAGGACTTCGTACCTTCCCAAACCACTTCTTACGTTATTCATACTCATTAAAGTCAAGTCTCCCACCATGCATAGGGAGACAATTATCAGCAGCGCAATGTGCCACTGTCTCAGAATTGCAGTATTTAACTCTTACCACCTCTGGCTGGGGTGTGCCTGGGAAGCTGGCAGGTTTGAAGAGCAGGATCCTTTATTCTAGCTGAAAGCTCAGAGAAATCCTCCCCACTCCCAGTCCGATTGTGGACTTTTCTTGCTGGAAACAAATTCTACTTTCCAGGGTGAGAAAAGTGTGTTCAAATAATCATTTGGAGAAATAAAAACCTGATAAGTGGAAGCCTTTGTAAACATAGCATTGGACTGAGATAAGCTTTTGTATTCTATACATATTTCATATCAAAGGAAAGAAGCAAAAGCTTTTCATCATTATGCACCAATTATTGTTTGGGTTTTTATTCATAAACACCAATAAATTCAGGGATAGCACAAATTATTCTTATCTCAGTTCATCTGTTTGTTTGAGTAGTGAATGGAGTTTGAAAACTGGAGTGCTCAGAGTTACGGTTTTCTTCTGACGCCATTCACTGGTCTCTCTTTTTTCCAATTTCCTGGCTTTAATTCATGATTTGTCACACTTTGGGGTCGTTCTGCTTAGTTTCTTTGCACTTTTTGTTCTTTTGCTTTTGGTTCTATGGGGTTGGTTTTGTTTGTTTGTTTGGGGGGTGGGTGTGTGTGTGTTTGTGTGAGGTGGTGATAGTCCTAGGCTGCAGGCACGTTAGATTGTGGCTCTCATCAAGCAGGTTGGTTTTTCAGTTGTTGTACCCCTCCCTGCCCCCAACTTTAATAGTGAGCACATTGGAAAACCGATTTATTTAGATGTCTGCGTATTAGGCAGTATGCAGAAAGTGAGGTTAATCTAAGGGGGGCCATGAAGACAGAGGTTTGATCTCTGGGCCTTTAATCATAAGCCCAAATTTATGTAGGGAATATGGTTTAGTCTGCCTGCTGATCTGAGTCAGAATGTTAGGGAAGATTACTAGTCTTCCAGAAAACTCTTCCCGCTGCCTCTGAAGAATAAAGAAGGAATACCTCCCCAGCACCCAAACAGAAAAGCAACTCTGGTAAAAGGAGCAGTCACTCAAAGTAGTGCAGTGCAGCGTGGAGCAAAAACCCTGGGCTATCCCTAAAAGTATATATGCATTTGTTCCACGTGATGTAGCACTCACTGTATGTAGATACTGCTTGGGACTGCTGAATTAAAATCTCTGTGTAGTCACAGTGAGCATTACATCCTAGTTATAGTTTGGGAATTTGAGGGGTGATCTAGCTGTATTAATTCACACATGATGCCAGAGCAGAAGCTTCTAACTCAGAAACTCTGCCGAATGCTTCACTGCAGTGTTGACATGCACAGAAAATTGCTTTATAGTCATCCAATTCAAATCTCCCCTTGCTGGCAGCATATTAGAAAGCTTTAAGTTGGGGTTTTTTTCCCCAGTATTTCCACATTTCCTACCATTGCCTCAAGGAACAATGGAGTGACATTGAAAAGCAGAAATTGAAAACTAGCAGTAGTTGTCCTGAGCCAGACTAGATCATCTGGGGGTACAGCTTGTGTCATCTGAGTGCAGTGTCTAAACCTGTGCCTGTTGGGTTTTTTTCACACACTGGGGTGTGACCCAGGGTGTTAGTCCCCCCACCCCAGTCAGATCCTTTACGTGTATACCAAGAAGTCTTCAGCATGGAAAGCCTGGTGCCAGGAGGAAGACTGGTATGTGTCTGAGTTGGCCAAATGAGCCCTGACACAGAAACTGGAGAGTTCTCCCAGGTGTGTTAGATGAAGGAGATGTAGTGTGTGAGACCATCAGCTAGACAGGAATAGCCATTTTTTAAAGCATTCAGTGTTAGCACAGAACAGTTGGAAGAAGGTGGAGCTTTCCCCCACCAGCTCTTTAGAAACAGATTTGTGGATGATTTCCAGTGCTGTCACAGTGCTGTAATGGTATCAGTGCTGCAGAGTGTGATTGAGAACCACTGCAAATCCCATTGCTTTCCTTTTAAAAAATAAATAAATAAATAAATAAATTTCCACAGGTGGAAAAGATTAATGTGTTTATCCTTTGCTATCTGAACTGCATCCACAAACATAGTAGAGTATTGTTCTGTTGTATGGAGGTGACTATTCAGCATATATTTGGAAATAATAGGGTTTTTCTCTGTTACTTGAACATCCATACTTCAGCAAAAGTAATTGTGACTGAAGAGTACGTGACTGCTATTCCAAAGAAGTGACCCTATCTAGTAGGTTATGGGAGGCATATACAGCTATATGAGCTGAGACAGGTAGGGCTGATTCTGGATCAATAATTAAGGAGAGAAGCTGGGGGAATGCGAGGCGCATCTTAAGTAGTCCGTCTGTCAGAAGAGAGGTGGTCAAGGTCCTGGGGAGGGTGGTGAGGTCAGAGGACTTGCATGGGAAAGGCTGCGAGAGAATAACCAGAGTCTCTGGAGGGAAGGGAAAAGAATGAATATGATAACGCCTTGTGTAGTCCTGAAACTTATCTCTGTCCGCAAACCTGCAAGCTGTTCAAGATAGGGGCTGTCTCTTTCTCTTTGTTTGCACCAAGCATGATAAAACAAGATTCTGATTAGTCTGTCTGGGCATTACAGCAGTATAAGTAATGAAAGGACTGAATCTTCTCAGCGTGCTTCTGTTTATAGTAAAACACAGTTTCAGTCAAGAAACGATGCTCTCCCTTTTAATTTTACAGCTGCTTGCGGAGGACTCCTGACAAAGCTAAATGGGACTATAACCACACCAGGGTGGCCCAAAGAGTATCCTCCAAACAAAAACTGTGTGTGGCAGGTGGTTGCCCCAACGCAATACCGAATCTCAATGAAGTTTGAGTTTTTTGAGTTAGAAGGGAATGAAGTAAGTAACCGTGAACAGAACTGCACAGTCTGTTACACACTAAACAGTTTCATGAGCGTTCAAAAACAGATATTGTCTTATAAAAGGCTTGCTGACCTTTCATGCGCTGACAATAACCATAGATATTCTTGTTTTCATTTTGGGACCGTTTCTGGATTCTTTCAAAACAAACATGGAGAGAATAGCTCTCTTTTACATATCATCTAAATGTATATGTATTACAAGAAATTTAAAAGAAATGTTCTCTGTTGAGTCTCAGCTGACTTTTTTTTATCAACAAAGTAAAACAGAGCAAATGGCTGAGGCACATTGGAAAGAATTCAAGAGAAGAAAATCTGGAGAAACCAAATCATCTTTACAGGCAATGACTACAAAGAATACACATAAGCTGGGGTTAGTGACGGAGTGAGGAAGCATTTAAATCATTTACAAGTATCTCATGGGGGGAATATTTTAAAAGGAGCAGTACCAGAAATAAGGCACAATAGAACAGCAGCAGTGTTTGAGCTGGGCAGCCCTTGGAGGAATGGGGGATCTTGTCCCCAGGTTGGGGAGGGGGGCAGGGCAGAGCAGAGCTCTCCATGTGGTAAGGGCTGCTCCCTATAGCTTTAAACAAAGTGGTGGGGCTTGCAGTGTTTTTTGGGTGCAAATCAGTAAAATATGGGTTTCAACATCAACTTCTCAGCCTCTGTTCTGCTTCCTGGGCACTTCTCTGACATATCATTGAGTTGCCATGCTCTAGACATAATGTGCTGTAGCCATCAAGTTTATCTGGATATTCTTCACGCGGCGTTAAGAACCCAAATCCCAGGACATTATTTCTGACTAAATGAATTTGTAGCAACATATTTGATATGAGGATGGGGCATGTTTTGAGTATGAGATCTGAAGTGGCAAAGGCTGGAGTTTAATTTATAACTAAGAAACAAGTCAGACATGGTTTCTCTAAAATATCTTAAAATTATTTGCAGAGGAAGCAATGTGAGATTTTTATTTATTTTTTTTAAATAATTTGGGGTGGGTTCTAAGGTCCATGAAATTCCAGCTTTTAATGATTTATATGTTACACTCATGTCCTGTTATCCTTATTACAAGAACTGCAAAAAAGTGTAATAAAAATTTACAAATCCCAAAGATTTAAATTTAGTTACCACTTGAACAAATCATAAAACATTCTTCCTGCACTTTCTTGTACTTAAGCCAGATTTCGAAGGAAGACATCTGGGGTGTAATGAAGTTAAAACAGTTTTCTAAGGTCATACAAGACACATAACTTAAGCAGATATGATAAATACATACATAAAGTTTTTCAACATTTAGAACTTTGGCTTGATCCTCTCCTGTGCTACTAAATCTCAGCTTTATACTATTAAATAGTAGTTCTAAGAATGGTACCTGTGAAAATCAGAAGAAACATAATATCTGGAACATTCTAATATATTGTCTGAGTGCAGACATAAAATGTATACATTTAGCAAATGTTCTAAATTTTTTTGTTGTTGTTATAGGAGCTCCATTTAGGACCAAGTTTAATATGTCTTTTCAAATATTACAATTTTAATATTTTACAATTACATTTTAAAATTTTAATTTTACATTTAACTTGTAACATTTTTTTAAAATATAGTCTAGTATGAAGAAAGATAGACCTATCTGAAATTAAATTTCATTTCTAATCTAAAGCTATGAAACCATCAAAACTCACCAATATATTGCTGAAATTGCTGGGACTTATTAATGTTGTGAGCTATATTTGAATAGGAATTTATCTTGCAATCAATATAAATCAGCATGTGGCAGTAACTCAAGTTTTATGAATCTTTGTGTTCTTTATATTGTATAAAAGTAGTTTCAACTGAATTAGTCACTTAGAACTCTGCAACATATGAAAATTGTTCCAGTAACAATGAAGATTTGATCTACATCTAGTATGTATTATATTAAAAACAACTGGAAATGTTGACAATCATTTAATATTTCATAGGGAGAGGGAGCAACAAGGCCAAAACATCCTTTTCTGTAGTTCCACTGCAGCTCCCCTGACATTTCTTTTTTGACTAGAAATTATGATTTATCAAATACAACTTGGATTTAATGGACAATCTAAGCTCTGTATGAATCCTTCTGGCCACTGTTTTCTCTTAAGCTATTAATTGCAGACAACTGGGACATTTTTGATTAAATGATTGATAGTTGAGCCTAAGAAGCTTAGAAGTTTTTGGGTGGAAAGCTTTAGGTTGACCAAGGGATTATGCATTGAAAGTATTATCATGAGTAGTAGGCCTTGCATAAGGCTTTTTTATCACATTATTTTACTTTATTTTTAACCATTTAATGAAAATGAATGCATCAGCCTTCCAAATTATAGCTATGCTACTGTTAAAGAAAGCTGTATGGTTTAAATAGTGCAGATTTATATATTTGTAAATAAATGAATATGTCTTAAATACATTATGGTAAAAACTTATCTTGTAAGTTTCTAAGTGAAAATCAATAATTTTTAAAAATCTATGAAATGCAAGCAGTAGAAGGTTTGTAGGTTCTGGGTATGTGGTTTATAGCACAAAGGTACAATTTTTGGGGGTGAATATTTCTAGAGTTTAGTCTAATGTCACTGGAATTTTTACTTTTTAGATTAAATAGAAATGCTACTAAGCATCTTGAAATTTAGATACTGAACGCAGATTAGTATCTATCAAAATATAGTTTTGAATGTAATGCATAGTATAGCTATGCCTCAATGACCTTAAAATATTCTTACACAAAATCAGTGAAAGTTTGCAAGCATTTACAAATGTTTTCAGAGTCAGAGAAAAGTGAAAAAAGAAATCATTAATCTATTATTAAGCAGCATATACCAATCAGCGTTCTTGTATTTGTAAACAACTTCATGCTTTTCTTTTGGCTGGCCAAAAAAAAAATTTTCTTTCTTTTCTCAGGTTTGCAAATATGATTATGTGGAGATTCGTAGTGGCCTTTCTTCTGATTCTAAACTACATGGTAAATTCTGCGGTACAGAAGTGCCTGAAGTTATCACCTCTCAGTACAACAACATGCGAATTGAGTTCAGATCTGACAACACTGTGTCAAAAAAAGGCTTCAAGGCACACTTCTTCTCAGGTATAGAAAATTACTCTTGGGTACCTGTGAGTGCCTCTGAGCATACGCTGACTAGGTGGAGTGAATACTGTATTTTTGGTATGAAAGTGAGTGGCCTTTTCTGTTATAGTTTTCCTGGTAGTTTTGAATTTGTTTTATTTATACAAACATAAACCACTCTCCTGTCTTAAAATACTGTTCTGAATTCTGATGTCTGCAGAAAATATATGGAATGCATATACATATATATTAAATAACGGCAGAGGCATATAAACTTAGGGATATTGAGAAAAAAGCAAATTTACTAAGTGTTCCTAAATTTCAATTAGATTTCTTTTATCCCAAGTTTTGCTGCTGTTTTTTCAAATGCCAGTTGTACTGTGATATGAATTACGTACTGTGTACACTTGTATTTTTTTCACTCAGGTTTCTTAATATATTGCATTAGTTATGATATTACCACTTTGTGCTACAACATTTGTTTAGCATTATGGGTACTTTCTTGCCAAATTTTGCACTTCTTAATGTTTTGCAGAAGAACAGAGTTTAAGAACTTGCTTTTGTAAAAATATTAGTTAGTTATGAGTGTAATTGCACTGAGGCAGATCAGAGCAATGGAAGTTTATATCATCTGGGAACATGTGTTGTTGAATAAAGATAGACATGAGTGAAGCTGAAGATGTGAGGAAATATTTGCACAAGAGTGGTCTCTGCAATTAACCATTGAGACTAGACTATAATAATCTGGCTGTGGCAGGATACCACCTGGTGTTAGTAGTGGAATTTTGCTTAGTGTTTTTCTTGTGTGTTTACACACACACATATGCATAGGTATTTTGTCTCATGTAAAACAAAACAACAAAACAGGCCCTTCCACCCACCTCTCCAAGCTGGAAGTCATCCAGAAGCATTTGGAATTTGAATTCTGCCCCAAGTTTTTTGACAGCAGTTAAAAATCTGAGTCTGGAGAGTCCTGATTATGTTTAGCATGTAGCAAAATGTATTACCAGACACTGTTATTAGCATTCATTTGCTAAAATATTTTATCAAAGTTGAAATGAAATGGTATTTCATTGGCTAGCTTTAATAACTGATAACTTAACTATGACCAAGTAATAAGAATCGGTATATTGTATAAGTGATGTGGTTTGGAAATTGTCAAGACAAACGGTTTAGACTTTCAATGTTTTCTCATTATGACCGCTTTGATGTTTTTCTTAAGCAATTATGAAAGATGAAAAAAAAGTGTTTCACCTCATACAGGGAAATTAACAAACATTTTACATCCTCCAAAACATATTATTTTTTCTAGTAATCACATTTCTGTGGTCATAGTCTTTCACATTCATCTTTACATATAGTAACATGTTTTACTTTTAAATTTATATTTTACATTAGCAAGAAGCTTTCAAAGTTTACTCAGTATTTGTAGTAAATACCTATATGCACATAACAGAGCTTCCTCCAAGAAACACTTACACAACTAGTCATTTCATGTTGGTCTAGTAGTCTAGTGCCAGCAGGAATTGTCACATATTTTGACTTTTTTTCAAGAGTAAGTATTGACATGTTCCACTTCTAAGAATGCTCTGCAAATTAAGTTTGTTACATATTTTCAGGATCTATAAAGCTATGTCAGGTAAGATTGGCAATGATAGTTCTGCAATTTGTAAGCTCTGGAAGTCAGAAGTTCTGTTTTATGGACGTGCTGAACATTTATACGTTTATAGTCAGTTAAATTTTGTTTTTCTTTAAAGTGATAGTCAATTTTCACAGATTTATTTATTTATTTATTTAAATGATTGTTTAAATAAGCTGTTAATGTTCTGAGTGGGGTCTAGGAAGAAATCAGGCCAATGCTGTATGTTGGGGAAAGACTGGGCTATAATTCATGGAGTTATGGAGGCTGTATCAGCAGGAGGTTGTAATCATTTGGAATCATTTTTTCACTTGTGTTTTTCACTTCTGAATGAAATGTGTCCCCTCCCAGGTAAAAACAGCTTTTTTCCTGGTAATTTTAAAAAGATAAGTTTTAAATTACTCCATTGATCACCAGAATAAGTTCATTAGCCAGGGATAAATCTGAGCTAATGTGGTTTTTTTAATGAATAGAAATGCATTATGTGTCCTGGATATAGAATATATCTAATCCCCTTCAAAGAAAGATAGTTTGCAAATAATCTTTAACTGTGTAAGTATATAAATTCAGTGAATGCTTCATAACACATTTCTGCCATAATCTCTTCTCTCATTTCATACAAGTTTGGATAATTTGTATTTTATTGTTATTTTTTCTGAATTCTCTTTCAGCTGTTACCATTTCTAGCAGATTCTATTCTTCTATGTTATCTGGCTTTCCCCTTTTGACAGTATTTCCTGATCAAAACAGAAACTTTGTAATGCTTGAGACAAATCAAACTTATGAACTTAAAGTATCTAAAAAGAGGTTGTCATCCCTGAATATATTTCATCAGACAAAACTCTTATGGCTGTCAGAAAACACTGTTACTGTCTTACCCCTGAATTCTTTAATATGGACATAATATGCTATTGGTCTGTCAATGAAGAACAAACTTGAAACTTCAAGTATTTTGACTTCTGGGAGTTGATAGCTGATCACTGATCACTGTTCAGCTGATGTGTTTTTTTGTTTGGTTTTTTTTTTTTGCCTATTTATATACTTGTGTTCAGAATACAATACTTTCAGAATGATATCTGTGGAGAAATACTTAATGCTAGCATCTAAGATACTTAGGTACTTGCTGGAAGGCATTTAACACTTTTATTAATTAAATCACAATAGAATGTGTAAGCATTTAGTTATAAAGACATATATCATGAAAAAAAATCAGTAATGAGTAAAACACTGCATCTTGCAGTCTATTCACCAGTAAAGGGCATATGCAATGCTCAGCAAGAGAGACAGGTGGGTAAGTCAGATTAGTTTGAAGATGAGGAACTGTAATGTGTTCCTCAAGCACAGCCAAAGAACTTTTTTTTTTTTTTTTGCAAGTCTTTTGGTGGTGAATTCTGCAGCCACAGCTACAGTTGAGAAAGCATGGCCCAACTCCAGCTCAGATGACAGAAAGCAGTTTTTGGGTGGTTGGAACCCACTGTGATAAACTGTGAAAGCAAACAGTGACATAGGGCAACAGATGACCTGCGTTAGGAAGGTATTTATGTTGATATAAGACAACATGTAATTACATTTTTGGCTGTAAAATGGTGTTAACAGCCAGACAGGTGCTACTGGAAAGTGAGAAAAACTTTTTTTTCAACATTCTGTAAAATTTACATTTGATGGGACAGTTCTGAAGAAAGCTCGGTTGGGAGCCGTTGCAGGGATCTAACTAATCTCTAGAGACACTTGTGTATATTTATAATCAAGTTTATAAAGAGAAGAAACTAGGGAGTCATGATATATATATTTTTTTTTTTAAACTTTTATTAAAACTTTTTGGAATTGGATATTTGGCTTCTAAACTAAAAGCTTCCAGTAATTAGGGTTTTATTCTTTCTCCCTTTCTCTTTCTTCTGTCCTCCTCTCTCTCTTCTGCTTTTGTTACAAGACAGTGACCTATTGCAGTCTGCTGGGCCCATAAGACTGGAGGAGTGTAAAATAACTTCATGAATTTACTCTAGCCAGGAAAAAAGATAACAATAATATATGTTAACAAAAAATAATTCCGTGATTTTTCTGAGAAGATAGCCTAAAAGTCCTTGTGTAGTGGTATGATTAATACCCAGTGATACTATGTCACTAAACTGCTTCCAGTTATCATAGGTTTTAGAGTTACTTCAGTGTTTTAAATAAACATGATTCTTTGCATGACCGTTCAAAACATACATGGTGTTTGATGTAATATAGAAATGAGGTTTGTGGGGACATTTTTTCTTGGGTGATGATTCATTGAGCAGTTAAAAAGAGAAAGCTAGAATGTTTCTAGCCTTTTTGTTTTGGAGCACAAACTCATCTCTGGTGCCATCCTGGTACATTTTTTTCCACAGACAAGAAAGCTGCCTGCAAAGAGAAAATTTTTGTTTTTGCATCTTGCAAGGACTTGATACAGGTCCCTTCAGGCCGAGTACGTATTATTCACAGACTGGTGGCCTCTGAGGGTCTCAGAGGTACGACCATTTGTCCTCTGAATGATTCAATCTAACATTTTGTTGCGAATGGATCTTTCCCTGTTCTGAGTACTGAAATGAGAAAAGAAAGAAAGTATCCATTCAAAACTGGGAGACTCATTTCCATCTGTCAGCATAACAAATGGCTTTGTTTTTATATGGCAAAACATTTGTTCCTATAACTAATACAGACTAATTTTTTTTCATGAATTTTGAAACTGGGCAATCAATTTGACAGAAAGTCTGTTCTGAATTATGAAGTGTGAGGAAGGCTCGTTCAACAGTTGCATCCTTGATTAACCATGTACAAGTAATTACTGTAGTTCAAATGTGTTCCAAAGCTTCTCCTTTCTACCTTCTGTCCATTGTTATATCTCTGAGGAGGTCCAACACAGGACTGTTTGCTTATGCACTTGTCTCTAAAGAGATTATTTTACAGAATATAAGCTTATTTAATGTTAAAATACTTTTCAGTATTTTCACACAGTTTGGTAGAAGATGAAAATGGACAGGGCTTTTATTTAGAATTTGTATACCTACTCAGTACTCAAAAGCCTAACTTGAATGCATTTTGAGCTTGCCTTCCATTTGTTTTGTTATTTTGGTAGAAAACTACAAACTAATGCTTAGGAGGGGAAATATTGAAGAGTTTTGTTCATGTTACATCTAATTTCTGATTTGCTTGTTACTATTCTTCACTTGCAACATGGAATTAATTTATGATAGTGCTTGCTTTTGCAAAGATGAAAGATTATAATTTTTGTTTGAAATTAAATAGATTTACTACCTCAGTTTGGGACTTGCATTGCAGGGTGCATGAACAGTGTATTGTGAAGCTTTTATGCTTCTTTCATCATCAAAATGACAACTAGTATAAGCCTTTGGATCTACGATTCTGGGAGCTACCTATGTTTTTGACTGTTTCTTAATCTACAAATCTGTTGACATGTGCAGAAAGCTTCCAAAAACTTTCAGTGCAAAGAGATTTGAGATTTACGGGACAAAATGCAGTGGATACTTGGGTTTGACTTGCAGAATTTATCTATAAATGTACATTATTATCATGTATTATAAGTAGAAGCTGATTTTTATAGAAAGACCTGCAAGTCAATAGGTCAAGTGTTGCATACATTTTGGCAGATAAAGCTGATGTGTATGCAATTATAATGCAAACTTCCTTTGTTGTGTTACTGAATATGAGCATCAGTAAAGGCAGGGAAAAAACGGATGAGTAAGACAACAACAGGAGACTGAAATTATCCGTAGTGGCTTGTAATCTATAGAAATTCTTACTGTGCCTACTAAGGTCTGAAACATCACATGTTACCTTGTTTGGAGGTAATGCTCCCTGCTGCTTTCCAAGGTACATGTGGCTGAAGGGGGTGAATGCTCTGCATTCCAGCCCTGCAACAAATGGACCTCTAGGATGACCACAGTTTTGTTGCTCTTTTTCCTCTTCTCTTTTGCATGTTGTAATGACACATTTTGTAAGATATAGTTTCTTAATATGTGTGTGTGTTTATATATATTTATTTATATAGGCATATATTTTTATATCTCTGGATTTATATATATGTGTCTACACATATATATATAGGTGTATATATATGTATGTCTTTGTATATGTATATGTCAGGAGCAGTCTGCCTTTTAAATGGACCAGCCTCACCTAAAATGACAACAGCTGAATGACATAGAAGGGTGGCAGCTGAGGCTTCTTGCTAGAATGACAGCCTGTTAATCTAGTTTGGCTTTTGTCCATGCAATGACTTTGTAGCTGTTTAATGCAGGTCATATTTCCTCCCCTACTCTCTGCGTTACTCCTAACACACTAAAAGCTCTTTTGAAGGATTATATGTTAATAAACAGAACTGCATGCTATATTGTAGATCTCCTTGAAGTAACTAATGCCAATTTCTTTTGTGTTTTTCAATGAAATGTTTTTCTTTTTGTGATGTTCTGTAATGTCCAGATTCATTAAAAGTAAAGCACACTGTCACTCTGCTGGGGAAAAAAAATTAACTTACTAAAAAAGTTTATGTTAAATCCTTCTTTTCTCACATGTTTAACCTGCAGAGCTTGGAACCTTGTTTGGCCTACATGTTCCTTTCAACATAGCACCATTAAATTGTGGAATTTGCATAAAGCTGGAATACTTTGTGTTGTCCATAAATTATACTCCTGTTGTTTACTGAAATAAAGCTTTGGATGAGATATTTGTGAAAATTTTACCAGCTAGACCACTTGAAAGAGTAAATGCTGGCAACTGTCTTATGTCCTTTGATTTTGTTTGTTTGTTTTAGTAGTGTTCCTCTCCCCTAGGAACTACCTCTCATTTCCTAGAAAGATGAGGCAAACTATTTGTGCCATGGTGCAAGGTTGCAGGCTGAGCAATGAGTGGCTAGAACTAAGGTACAACAAAACTGCCATACTGAGAAGAGTGACTGTGCCTTAGTTTATCTTCTTCTGGACTCAAACACTGTGCTAAACCTTTTTCTTTTTTGGTAACGAGAAATACTGCTAGTTGTGCTTACCTGGCCTTGTTATGTATTTCTTAGACAAGGATGAGTGTTCAAAGGACAACGGTGGCTGCCAGCACGAGTGCATCAACACAGTAGGAAGCTACATTTGCCAGTGCCGAAATGGATTTGTGCTACACGAAAACAAACATGACTGCAAGGAGGGTAAGTAGTGAGGTATTTGAATAGTTGATTATACAACTGTCTTGCAGAAAGCTCTCTGCAGCTCTCCTTCTAAAGAAAAGAAAGGAAAGAAAAAGATCTCGGTAATGGGGGCTTAGACATTTGGGCTTAAACACTCCCGCCACCCCCCCTTTCCTATCCTCTCCATCCCCAGCATGTGTGTGGCTGAGTTTGAGGTCCACAGGAATGCAGTTTGGAAAACTTGGGATCATTGGCAGGGAGTGCTACTTTTAATAGTTCTGTGAAGTGTAGAACATTTAAAGCTGTGATAGAGTATTTATCTAACGCTGTATTAAACACAGGGATAGAGTTTCTGGAGAGAAGCCTGGTAAAGTTGTCATTTGCTCCTATCAGTAGCTGTTTCCTCGCAGTCAGGTTGAAACTGTATCTGCCCTTTCTGGGTCTATTTTAGAGGACATATTCAGACAATCTAAATTCCAGTCAAGTCTTTCTTATTTGCTGTCTCAAGGTGTGGCTACCTTCAAGAAAACAGTAGGCTTTGGGGCTTAAGTAGAATTTAGATTATCTGCAAATGAACCTCAAGCGTGCAGTATCATATGAGCTACTGTAATTTCTGAAGGCTGTATTCTAGCATGGATTTAATTTGTGACTAAGGATGTGCCCTTTGTGAATCACTTACATTTTCACTGGTGTTGGAATGATACTTGCCTGCTCTAAAAGATTCTTGTTGAATAATTCTCTGATATTTATAAAGCAATTTGAGATTGTTAAAAAACTAAATATAAAAATGAAACTAGTTTCTTTCTTGCCTTCTTTAATTTTTAGTTCTTTGTATTTATTCAGAGATGCATTTCTGGTGATTCAGTTATGACGTGAATGACTAAGCTGTTCTTGGTACATACTCACAGTTTAGTCTTAGCTGTTCTCTAGTTGTATATATGTCCCTAGAAACTGTGGTTTAGAAACCAAAATGATTGCTTTGTGGCTGCAGTATGAAAATTAGCAAGAAGAGACAAAAATAAATTGTTCAAGAAATATAATTTGAAGTTGGAGTAGCAACACTTCTCATATGGATTTTCATACTTACTTGTATGTAGAATGGGGAGAATAGCAAACTATTTGATTAAATTTTAATACTTATGTATATTCCTTCATAATGTTTTTTCAAAAAAAAGGCCATCCATTGTAAACAACACTGTATGTTTCACAGTAATCAATAAACAAGCATGCTGGGTTAATTGCCATGAATTGTGTGCCAAAGGGGAAGAACACGATCGTGCACACTGAAGAGCATGCTTAGACGTCCCGCTAAAGATCCTTTTCATTCAGCGGGTCCCCTGACAAAAAAGAGTACTTTTCTGGCTACCTCTGAATGCAGACCCCCAGACTAACTGATGCTATCACTGTTGGCACAGCTGAGTGTGAACAGAAGATCCACAGTCCCAACGGCATCATCACAAGTCCCAACTGGCCCGACAAGTATCCCAGCAGAAAGGAGTGCACATGGGAAATCAGTGCCACCCCTGGGCAGAGGGTCAAATTGGTGAGTTTCTGCCTACCCTTCCTTTTTCTCTTTTCGTCCACCACACCTGCTTCTCAAATGACTACTCAATGATACGAAACTGTTACTAAACTTTACTATCCGTTTGCAGCCCAGAGGTAAACTGTTTTAAAAATCTGCTGACTCCTGTCCAGTCCTGGCTAACTGGGGCTACTCAGTATCATAGAACTGTGAATTTAAGTTTGTGGTGATTGTAAATACTCTGGACAGCAAAGGGCAGGAGGAATGCTTTCCTTCTGTCAGACTTTACTATATCATTGTTGCAATTAATAAAATTTGCAAAAAGTTTTGACAAATATGGCAGAGGCCATTTATGTAAAATCCAACATACAGAATAAGCAAAATTAGAAATTATGAGCAGTCCTCTCCACACACCTTTTTCATTCCTGTTCTGTAGTTTTCGAGGAGGAAAAGAAGATACAGAAAACAGACTTCTCATTTAAAAGTGGCTCCAAATTTTAACATAAGTAGAAGCTGGCTGAGGACAGTGCTGGTGGCTGAAGACAGGCTAGCAGAGCTTAGGGAGCTTTGCAGACCTACTGAGGTTACGTAGCCTCTGTACAAAGCCAAAGGCACAGACCTGCCCAGTGGGCTTTTCAGCTTTGAGCTCAGCCCCAGTGTTCCTTCAGCCAGAGTACTCGGGACAGCCACAACAAAAGCTGGCCATACATATTTTAAAATCTGATAAATTGATTTAACAAATGTTTTGGAGCAAATAAACTTGAGAGATGTTTCTGCTTCAGAGAGGTAGAAGAAATAACCAATATTGATGCAGGGATGAAAGAGGTATTGTCGTCTCATAACTGCTGGCCTCAGCCAAAACCATAACCCCTGTTACTGGTGCTGATGTGAGATTGTGTATTGATCCCTGTTCACCAGAAGTAAAATGGTTAAACTGTTCTGGGGGTGTGGGGGTGGGTGGAAAGTGAGTGGTGTGCATGCTCTGTCCATTCAAAGGGTGAAAAAACAGGTTTTTGATTCAGGCGGCCTTCCTACTGCCACTTCTGAGCAAGCATTCTTCATCCTGGCTGAATAAACCAAAGCCAGCCAGGCATGGGCATATTACTGTAAAAGCTTCTTCAGTACTTTTAACCTCAGCAGGCAAAATTCCAGCATTCAGATTTCTTTAGTGAAATATCACATCATCTGTTTTAAAAAAAAAGAGGTTTATATTGGCTTTTGCCAATAAAATTGGAAAAAATTAGACAATTTTACTAGATAGACTTTTCAAAAATACCTCCATCATTTAGAGTCTGAAATTCACTTTTCTGTGCAAGTCATTAGGGTCAACCTACTAAATTCTGAGTGTATAATATCCTTAAGGTCTGTCTAGTACAGCAAGATGCCTTATCAATAATATTAATACCATGCTTGCACTACAGGTAAATATTTTTTCTTGGACTTTCACACCATATTTAAGTTTACTCCTCACAGTTTACTTAGTCAAATTGAACAAGGAGAAAATTGATTTCTTCATGGTAATAAAACACATGAATTGAGGCCCTCATTTTTTGAGGGTTGTATGTGCAGAAACTAATCTTTTGTTGTGATTGCTCTCACTCTGATAATCATTGAAAAGTCTTTTCCCGAAAAGCTTCAAGTTAGGCATTTGGTGTAATTAAGAAGCCTATGAAAAAAATGGTATGTACTTCAGAATTTTTAAATGAAATGTGTAGATAAAGATGGCTTTGAAAATGTATGTAGCAGAGAGCGCGATTTTCATAAGCTAATCAGCCGGATGTTTATAAGAGACAGACTTAAGTGTCCCATTCAGGCAGCTATCCATAAGTGCCACCAACGTATCTACTCAGTTGAGTGCTATAGATAGAAAGAGCTGGATGTTCAGAAGCTATATGTAATGTTTCTGAATACCATTCCTGCTAACGAGACAATCAAAATGGGGACTGTACTCATGTTGTAGTAGGTATTCAACAATATTTGTCCCAGGAAGATAGAGTGTGATTTAATTATCCTGCCAACTTTATGAAATTGTCTGTGAACCCTGTTGGCAGCAACTATTCAGTTACGTTCAACTTTAAGGAAAGTTTGTGTCAGTTCTCCTCTTTCAAGCCTGCTCTTAGTTCACTGCTGGGAACTGAATGCTTTTTAAAAAAAAATGGAGATTGTCTATGGGTATTTTGAAATATCAGGCATTTTGAGCTTTTAAACACTTAATATTAAGATCTGCTTTTCCTTTAAAAAACAAATTCCTTTCATTCTCTTTGTAATTGCTAGAATCAATTGCTAGACTCACAACAGATTTAGGACTTTTTTCTGTTCTTCTTTGTGGGACCCAATATACATGTACTGTTCCCCTGCAGGCTTAGGAATCCCAGTGATAAGTCAAATATTAAAAATAACAGGTGTGTCTTACAGTTCATGGTAAGAAGTGCTTCCTAGAGAGTGGGGTTTTTTTGGTACTGATGAGAAGTGAACAAAACTGATACAATTTTCCTCTAAAAGAAAACGAAGTTCTGCAGGCTGTTCTTGGATCACATCTATTGCTCCCATTGATTCCAAGTTGGCTTGACTCAATCCTATATTTAACTAACTCCCTTACAGTTAGTCTGTCAGCTTTCTGCCTTTTTTTTTTTTTTTTTTTAATCCGTCAGATTTTATTTGGGTATAAATGACAACACGTACTTGGCATCATAAAAGTAGGATGGCTGACTACAATTTAATAGCAGCAGGAGGGACTGCTGTACAGCTGTTTTCACTGCCTCTGCAGTTTCAATCCCTTCACATAAAACCCCAAACTTTCCTGTAGAATTAAACCTACATCCACTGCATCATGCAACTCTTCACTTTTCATAATACGAAAGTGTTGTTCTGAATATTCTGGTTCTTTGGGCAAAAGACTTTGTGTTAGCTCTTTGTATTTCCTTTAGATCAGCTGTTAATATAAATTACCATCACATTTCACACTGGCTGGATTCCACAAGGGATTCATTGGGTCAGATTTGCTTTGGTGTACCAGACAGAATGCATAATTATGATATTTGCTCAGTATTTGACAGTTCAGTATAATTCCTTTGAATTATTGCTTCTTAATCCTTTAGAGTGGCTTTGGCTTTGTTTTTTTTTTCATGAACGGTCAGCTATATGACTACTCATGGGAACATCTATAGTTAGTGGTTTTATGCTATTTTGTTGAACAAAACAGATTTTGAATTTCACCTTAAATTGCAGGTTATTTCTGAAAATTCAAAGTTGTATATGTATATTACCTTCTCAGTGTTTACATGAGAGAAAATTACCAGATATTAAGCTTTACTCTTTCATATTTGAAAAGCAAGTATTAGTTGTGTGTGTTTTAACATTTTCTGTAGGGTATGGCATACACCTTTCAGAAATGCCTTTGATTGGACACTCTGAGTTTGAGAAATCTAAATTCCAATAGCTTTTAAAAGTGAGTTGGCCAGGGTCTGCTCCAAAGGACTTGAAATTTACAATTTTTAATAGACCTGAATTTGTCCTTACAAGCTGCCATGAGCACCGAGACTGAGAATCCCTAGGAGCTTAGAAACTAAGATAAATGCTTTGAAGTGTAGAAGAAACATCACAGATGTGAAATGAAATAAAATTTGTGAGCCCCAGTTTGTGTTCAAACTATGGCAGCAATTTGAATTTTCTTGGGAGAGCTGAGGACAGCAAAAGAGTCTGCTGAAGTTTTTTTAATAAACAATCAACATAATTTTGTTATTTTTCACAATGATTTCGCTAGCAAAACTGTGGTCTGAGCATGAAGGGTGCAGCCTGAAATAGTGTTGTAATAATAAAAAATAGATCTCTAAATAATAGATTAGAAAATATAACTTTCATGCATAACCATTCATGTGGAAAGGTCATTCTCAAAGGCTTTAGTTGTGTTGTGAGATAAGTTTAAAAAAAAGGGGGGGGGGTGCATTATGTTTCACAGATGTTTCAATCAATCCTCAAGTATCTTAGGAACCAATAATTTCTAGCTTTTTGCTGGTTTGAATGTTCTGTGAAATTTGGAATAATCCTACAAACAGTGCAAATTCAACAGAAAGGCCACTATTCTAGATTTAATGTTCTTTTATGGATATTCATTGGCTATAAAAATTATAATCCCTTTCTGTATGAAGGGTGATGCCCTCTTAAAGTTCACTGTCTTGTTATTCCACTTCTCAAAATCAGTATGTTATTCAAAGTTACAGGCTTGTAGGGGCAGTAACGTTAAATCTGTCATCTTAACTACATCTACTTTGTATTCTGAAACATACTAACAGTACATATGTACCATATAAGTACAGTAAACACAGTACTACATTGAGTCATTTTGCTTTTTTTTTTCCCGCCCCAGACCTTCAATGAGTTTGAGATCGAACAACATCAAGAATGTGCTTATGACCACTTGGAAGTGTTTGACGGTGAAAGTGAAAAATCACCAATTCTGGGACGCTTGTGTGGCAATAAGATACCAGATCCTCTTATTGCTACTGGAAACAAAATGTTTCTCCGCTTCATTTCTGATGCATCAGTTCAAAGAAAAGGCTTCCAAGCAACGCACTCTACAGGTCAGAAAATCAGGATGTGCTTTACCGATAACTTCCCCTTTGTTCTTTAGTGGAAGGTATTCAGTCATTTATTTTATAGGAATGGGGTGAGTTAACAGATAAGACAATGTTACAACTAAATCTAATGAAACCTTAAGAACAGTAGGAAAAGTCTGAGATTGCAGAAAGTATTCTTTAATATTTTACACATTTCTTTCTCCTTCTCCCTCTCTCTCATAGGTAAGCAGTTAAAAGATATTGAAACAAAATCCAATAAAATGAATATATTGGCATAGACAATCTGAGATATTTCTTAGGATTCATGCCATTAGTTTGTAAAAGATTCAATAGCTTTTCATTGTAGTTGTAACAGCAATACTTCATGGGTGCATGTGATGCACCTCCATTACTTTCCTGTTCTAACTTAAACAAAAGTCGGGGGTTTGTGTAAACAGCAATTACTTTCCAGTAGAGCTAAAAAGCAAAGACAAGGCAAAGAAGAATAAGAAAAAACAATACTGAAGACTTTCTTAGGACCTTAAGAATACCATCTCCTTCATATTTACCATTTAATTTTGTTCTTTGGCAGAAATCACTGAAAATAGTGTTTGGCAATTGCATTAATAGATTTCTTGGGACATTTTCCTAGTGTGTACATTATTTCCCCGACGTTGCTTGGCTTACAGTGGCCCCTAGTGCTGAATCGCTGAACTTCCAGTGCCTGCTGTAAGACGAGGCGGTTCTGAGGTTTTTTTGGTTTTCTTCTTCAGCCATAATGTCTGTCTTTACTTTCCAAAGTTCATTCTTATTCATCCATTATTTGGCAATAAATATTAGTACAGAAAATACTTATAAATATCTGTGCTAGTAGATAAGGTTTACTGACCGACAGCAGTTATTAATAGAAGATAGTAGTCAAGGTGATTTAGTCACTGTTAATATCATTTGATATTACCCAGAGTATCCATCAAGTTGACATGTAGTGCTTAGCTAACAAATCCTCATATATCAATGTTAGCATTTTCTCTTTTTTCCCCTTCTGCTTTCTTAAGAATAATTCTAATACTTTATTAATTTAATTTCCCTTTTAGAGAAAGACAGTAAGTAACAGTATATGAACTATTCACTCTTCATGATCTGGGCCTGGAATGTGAAAAGTTTAGCTACCTGTAATTCAATTTGTTTTTCTTGTGGAAAATCCTCTTTTACAAGCATGCCATTGTTTGCCTTCCATGCCACAATAACCCCTTCTCTTAGATGGAAAATTAGATAGAAATGGTAATAATTACTCATTTTTAAATTACCTCAGGGTAAATAATTAAAGGTCAGAACTCTTGTTAGAAACAGGTGTTGTAAAACTACTGTCTCATTCTTCTCACTTTCAATTTGCAGAATTGGAGCAGTCACTATGTGAAAGAACTTCAAATGTATACTCCCTAACTTCTAAAGATTGCCAATTTTGTTACGACGTGCTGGAATTTCCCTCATATCTGCTGAGTTTTATATGCCTTAACTGTAAAAACTTTCTTAGCATGCATAATAGTGCTTTTCTGAGAAAGTCTGAAGTATAAAATCTGCCCAGTTTTTATAATGTTGTAAAAATTATAGCTTGCCTTCTTAAGAAAGGACATTTATTTCTGTCAACTGCTGTTGCACAAAGTTCTCACTAAGTTGAACAGTACATCACCAGGTTGTGCTTTGAGGTAGCGTTTGAATGAGAGACAACTCAGATCTTGCAGCCTTTTCCTGCAGTCTTGAGCCTAACACAGATGCTCCATGGGAATTTTACCTCTGTGCTTTGGATGCACATGTGAGTGAATAGATATCTAACAAGTGTATAAACAGTGGATTGTATTTCATTATTTTATTTTTTCTAGCAAATAATAATTGGCGGTATGCAATGGAAGTAGGCAAGGTTGCACTCAATCCTGCATAGCTGTGCAGACAGACAGGGAGAGCTGAGGAAGCTGCTCCCTTCACTTCTGACCTGTTGGCAGATTTCGCGCAGTAGAAGGACTTGTGTAGTATAACAGCAGTGAAAGAGTAACTGGATGCTCTGCTCAAAGGTGTCTGTGCTGCTGTATTCCTGGCATCTTCATGATGTAATGGCCTCATATTGTAGTAGATCCTGATGCTGATTCTGATTTCCCTTCTGTGACACTTTTTGGCTTGAAATGCTATCCAAATTCCAAATTTCCATTGAACATTTCAAAAAAACAGGATAGAACTGTAGCAGCAGAGGCAGTAAAGTTCCAAAAAAAAAAAAAAAAAGGATTGGATAGAAAGGCTTCCCTGGGTACAGCAAAACTTATAAAATGCTGCTTTTAAAGTGCAACACAGTTTTAGAAAGAGATTATGTTATATTTTCCCCTCTCAGAAAAGGCATAACCCATCCAGAAGGAATTTATAAAAACGCTCCTGACAGAGCATTAAACATCATTGCTCAGGGGGTGATTTGGTTGCCTTAACACAGGCAACTAAATCCCTTCTGTATGGCCTCATTTACATTGCCTGGCCTCCAGCCACTGCTGCAGGAGGTTGCAGGTCTGCTGTAGGTCCTGTTCCTATCTGTCAACCCTCGGGGGATGTCTCTGACAAATTTGGACATCTCAAATATCACTCAGTTTAGGATGCTGTGTTGCTTCCAAAATGACTGTAATAATTCCGTATGGCAATGTCGAATCAAATTTATAACGTTGCTTCACTAGTTCGGGTAGTGTGGGTTTAAGCTTTTCCCATCTGTCCAGCTTGTTAAACAGCCAAGAGACTACCGCTTGATTTGCTCTTATGGTTGTAAGGGTTCTAGAAGCCCCTAGAAAGGTCAGGAAACACGAGGAGGGTTTTGTTCCTTAGCTGATCTAGGAAAAAAGTCTTTCACCCAGGGCTGTCAGATCGACAGCATTTGACAAGTTGGACATATGCCTGTACAGTTAGATGTGTGCATCGTACCTACGGCAGAGCAGACATACCTGCGCAATGGAGAGCATGATGGGTGGTGCAGCTAGGTTAGTGCTGGTATCAGGGCTAAGCAAGCGGTGCTGCGTAGCACTGCGCTGTTCTGTGCAGACCCATCACAGCCTGTCCCACACGTCCTAATGCAGCGCGGCATTGTGCTGGCTGGATGTAGACTTTTGAAACTACAACTTAGTCCTTAAGAAATTTAAAATTTGACTTGTGATTTCTAAATTCAGTACTTTATCCTAAAATATAAGGCTATAATCCGTGGGAGAAAGGCAGGGGAAAGTGAATTGCCATTTTCTGCCATTGTTAGTATGGCGACAAGATTCCTTTAAACTCCTGTCCGCTGTAGCAAGCAGAGGGAAAAAATGCAGACAGCTCATTAAACATTTTCTCCTTAGCAGCTGTTCCATATCTGAAGCGGGGAGATGTTCTTAATGTTGGCAACAGTCCTGTCAAAAAAAAAAAGAGGAAGTAAATGAAATCAAGAAAAGGAAGAAAAAAAGGGGTGTGCGTGTGAAATCAGTATATTAGAATACCAATAACTCTTTGAACTATCCAATTTGGCAAATTTTCTTTATTATGTGCTCCTATCTGTTCTTTAAAAGCAAAAAAAATTTGAAATTTCAGGTTGAACAGCAGTTCATGCATAATGGATTACTCTACTTACATAATTTATATTTCCTGTTTTGATTCCTTCATTTCCTTATTAAGAAAAAACCACACACGTTTTTAAAATATAAGGATTTGCTTAATACTGTCATTAACTCCCGGGTGAAATGTGACTCCTCACAATATAACATTGCAATTCATCGTGTTTAATGTGGGTGGAGTCCATGACGCTGAAGTCAAATTCAAAGTATGTCTTCACCAAAGCTTAGAAATGTTTGAAACTTGCGATTTGTTTCAGGTTATTATAAAATGATCAACTTATAATATCTACATTTGATCAAAATGCAGATAGGATTATCTATTCATTTATTTATAAAAATTCAATCTAAACTTATGAATCTCAGGTGTTGGTTGAAGCTCATTTGCACTTGGTGTTTTTATGGGTGCTATAAGGGATGGTTTGTTCCTGATGAGAAACCAAAACTAAATTATGCTGTTTTCATTGAAATCCTTGTACCCATAAAGTAAAAAAGCCTCCACGCATCTCATGGAAACATAATAAACAATTCATTTTTTCTTTTAGGTACAATTTTCCATCTGTTTTTGTTGCATTGCAATAGCCCTTTTAATTGGCAAATGCATAAACCCTATACATTTAGGTTACTGTAGAAGCTGAATTCACTGGCTGTTTAGGATAGAATACTAGTTTTAATTATAGCTGCTGAAAATATTTAGAAAGGGTAAAGTACTAGCCACTGTATTTTTTATTTTTTTCTTTTGTTCAGTGCATTTTCAGCAATTTCTGTTCTCCAGCAAACTGGCTAAAGAACAGCTTATTCAACTATATAGTAAAATTAATTCATATTTAAATTATGAACTTTTTGAGCAGTTATAAACAAGCTCTAAAGCCCCACATACATTTTGCTACTGTGTAAAAATAGAGATTTATACTGAAATAATGGCTTTGTCATAAGGCAAGGATTTCCTGCTCAAGACTTGCCTCAAGAGGAGGCTTTCAGCTACAAGACTTTCTCTGGTAGCAGCAGCTTTCTCCCGGACACGATGTTTTGCAGATTAAGACCTGCTCATGCCCATGAACTATGCAGCGAACAAGCTAGCGAGCTTGGCAGTGGTGTTTAGTGTTGAGCTGGCTCTCCAGGCACTGCATGATGGTTAAAGCTGACACTTCTATGAAACACAAGACTTTTGCACTTGATCGCTGATTACATGTGTGCTAGAGCTGATCCTCCACTGCCACTTGCAAATGGTGTCGTTAACCCATGTGGAAACGTTGTCACCACTGAAATGTGGATGCCCCACCTACAGCACTTGCTTTGCTGGCCACAGGCACCTCTAACATGCCTACCCAAAGAATGTCCTACCACTTGAACTACATTCCTTATGACTTTGGTGTTCCCTGTCTTTTTGTCTTTCACTTGAAAATTATGAAATATGCTCAAGTCTCTGTAGTTATAAAACAGAATTTATATAGGAAAAACTCAGAATGAGGGATTTGTATTCATTCTGGGTAGTACTTCACTCTACATCTTGTTTGATTGAGCTGCTTGTGGTATAAAAATGCACTCAGCCTGAATAAGGCTGGGCATCTATGAAAAGAAAATGCTAATTTGCACTGAATAAGCTTCTTCGTCCTTTTTTTTCTTTTTTTCCCCTCCGTTTAGAGTGTGGTGGTCGGCTGAAAGCTGAAACCAAGCCCAAAGATCTGTACTCGCATGCTCAGTTTGGCGATAACAACTATCCAGTTCAGGCAGACTGCGACTGGCTCCTGGTGGCAGAGCGCAGCTGTCGAGTCGAGTTAATGTTTCAGACTTTTGAGGTTGAAGAAGAGGCAGACTGTGGTTACGATTATGTGGAGCTATTTGATGGTCATGATAAGACAGCTGTAAGACTTGGTCGATTTTGTGGATCTGGGGTAAGTAACCAGGTACTAAACTTCTTTTTACTTCCACAACAAAAACAAGAAGAAAGACAGGGCAGAGGAAGGAAGGGGTCAAGAAGGGAGTGAGGTTCACTTACTACACCTTATAATGAAGATACTAGATTATCTGCTTCAGATTTTTTTTTTTTTTAATATAAATTTGCAGGCTTGTAGTACAAACATTCCCTTGAAATATTTTAAACAATAAATATTCTTATCTAGTTTTTGACCAAAGTATCGTAATGTTGTGTCAAAATGTAGGTAGCTGACAGTGGAGTGTGTAACAGCACCCAAAAAATAGTTAGCAGCTTTTTCCCTTACAGAGAGAGAAACGTACTGGTGTTGAAAATTATCACATTAAAATTCTTTCAATTTGAAGAAGTCACATTTTATGGGGGGAGGGGTGCTTGGGAAGTATTTATAATATGCTTACCTACTATTTAAATCTGATTTTAGGGAAAAAAAGTGCTCCTGAACTGTGTGCTTAATATGGGCCTTAAGAAAGCCTTGACATCCCATATGCATCTCTGACATGTTTTGACTGTGAGGCAGGGAGGAAATTGGCCAGGTGACATCCTGAAAAAGATATATATTATTTCTCCTTTTAGACTTGTATTGTTCTGTGGGCTGCCTGTTTTGTGAAAGCTGGTGCAATGATGCCACAAGTCTTCATCAATTCTTTATATGTGTTCAAAATGCAGCACACTTTCATACATACACTCTTTGCCTAGATAAAAGGTTTGAAAGACTCTACATGAGATGATAGGAGCTCTTAATTAACCACATGCCACTTTTTTGATTCAGCCACAGTGCTGGATCAAACATCCCAGTCATTCAGACAAGTTACCTGTAAGTTGGCTTAAATTGTTTTAGGGCATTTTTGAACACTTAAAGATGCAGGAAAGGTGCTACCACTGAACTGTAGGCAACATATTCTAATGAAAATGAATCAACTGAGCCCAGCATCTACTAATTTACACAAAACAATATTTTTCCTTGCAAGTTGCCCTATTTTACAAGTAGGAGAGCAGCAAACTGGAGAATAGCCCAACCTTGGGTTGAAATTTATTTTTTGGGGGGGAGGGTGGTGGAGGGGGTGGTTGGGTTTTGTTGCCATTGTTTTGTTTTGGTTCTGGTAAGATATTGATGAATGGCTTCAGAGGCCGCATAGGAAAGACGGGAAAGACAGGATTAAATAGAAAAGCTATTGAAAGCAAAATAATCCGAACTGAAGTGAGAAAAAGGCACTATAAGTATATATTACCACCTTCTCAACTTTAGAAAAAGGACTTGGTAGTTCAGCTGGTACTTCTGATAAATGTGCTTCAGTAATAAAACAGGCCATCATGAGGGTTATGAAGAATATGATGGAAAAAAGGTACTGGAGTCTGTTGTTCATCTAAAATTATATTGTGTATGGTCCTGCCCAGTCACTTACATGACTGCAGCAGAACTATAGAAGACATCTGGGAAGGATAAAAGTATGAGGAGCTTTGTTTTCTTTGTCTCATAAGAAAAGATTGCAGAGATACTCCATACAAATTGGAGAGGTCAAATCAGACTCAGAAAGTATGATGCCACATTTATTTAGATTGTGCAAAAAGATGTTTTCAGGCCCAGAGCTCAAGATTGAAAGAGTGCACATTTCTGCCAGCAGATAAAAATTCAAACATCATGATTTAAGCTGACCTCCAGCTTTTAGGTGTTTAGGTTGTCATTTCCTCAGTCTGCCACAAAAATTCCTAGCCTATAATTGAGAGCTGACTGAGATAGAAGTTTTCTGTCACACAACAAGGCTTAACAGGAAAAGAGAAATATCCATAAGAGAAAAAATGTGAATGAAGGGGATAAATACACAGAGTGGACAGATAATTTATTTGTTTATTCATTTATTTTAGCCACCAGAAGAAATTTATTCAGCAGGGGAAGCTCTTTTACTTCACTTTCATACTGATGATACAATCAACAAGAAAGGATTTCATATACGATACAGAAGTATAAAATATCCAGATAGCGTGCACACCAAAAAATAACACAAGAACCTCTATGCCAGAAAAGGAGAGTGAGAAAGAAAGAACGCACAATGGAAAGGAAGGAAGGCGTGTCTTTTTTTTAAACTGAAGTTATTAGCACAAATGTTTTATATGAGTTCAGTTGAAATGACAACTTGTAAGACCAGAGACTGAAATAAAATAAAAAAACAAAATCACCTATCCCAGTGGAATAGTCAAGATGATGATGTGCAGACTCCATACTTGACTGTCTCTGCAAAGCTTGTGAAAGGACTTTGCATGCAGGGAGAATATAAAAGCTTTTGTTCATGGTTTGACATTTGTCATAGATGCGTGCAGATTCAATCAGTTGCATTCAGGGGAAGTGACCCTGCAGACCGTTCTTCCTTCTGATAATTGTATGGTGTCCAGGAGGGGAAAAAAGCTCTTTCAGGTCACACGCTCAGAATACTGTCCTTATATCTAGTTGCTTTGACTTTGTATCCTGCAGAAGGTGTGTACAAGGACTTGAAAGAAGATATGAAACGAGAAGGTCTTCCTGCATTGTTCTGTATTTTTTTACAAATTCATCTGTCATATCAGGTTATCAGTGTTTTGAAACTGGAAAAATCCTACTTCTGAAACATAACTGATCTTTAGAGTATTTTGTTTTACTAATGACTGAGAAGTCTGAACTGTTACATCAGTCATCACTAGTTGACCAATCACTAGTTGACTGAATTTGAACAGTGTAAGCATCTGAAAATGTTTCGTTTACTGGTTAAGTAAGCTATCTCTGATGATGTGCTCTTATTTTGCACTGAACATAGAAAGAGACTGAGATGAAAACCTGTCCCGAATCAAAATCTGTGTCCATGAGAAACAGAAATAGTCAAGGATCATCTGAAACTCCTCCTACTGAATTTGTTTTCAGCAGTACATTTGGAACCACTACTAAGCTTTATTTCTTCAGACCTCTTTGTGAATGAGCTAATTGTCTGGTTTAGCTACTCAGAAATGAAGCTGCAGTAGTATCCAAGAGGGAGGTTTCCCAAAGAGGTTTTTTTCTGGGAGTAAGAGTATCTGTGATGGTGGAAAAAGCAAATCAAAACAACAGACCCAGGATTTGTTTGTTATCAAGAGTGAATTCCTATGGTGCTATTCCATGAACATTAAAAACAAAAACAAACAAAGAAGTTTTAGACTTTTGAGCCAACAGCTTGCAGATCATGAATGTCTCACTACGCCTGGCTGCATCTGGAGAAGGAAGGCTTTACTGCTCCAAGGGAGAGTGGGTTGCAACGGCAGCACTAGTCCTGTGGAACAACTACTACTATTGCCTTAGAATCCTCGCACACGGTCAGACAGATCTTCCTGTAGATACACCTCTAATTTGATAAATAATTCGACCACTCAGACATCTTAGTGTATGCGAACAAAAGGATCTTCAAGCGAAAGCCCCATCTGCAGAGCGAGATCATCTGCTGTAAATACAGTGACCTGCTTTTGATGTAGAGATATGTTACGTTTAGAACTGAGATATTCTATGTGCTTTAGGCCATACATGGCTTTAGTCATAAAGTATATGCATTATGTAAGTATTGTATGAATGAGTCTCCAGGGGAGTGAGAGGAATTGTATGAGTGAAAATGGAATTGTTTCTTTACGTGCCAAGTTCTGTCAGGACCCTGTTTGACTGTAGCAACTTTTCTTTAAAGGCTTCATAGACAGATAACGAGGACTTCTAGTTGGCAAGAATCAAGTTTAAACAAAGTATTATGTTTAACTTACAAGAAATATTATTTTGATATCCTTTGATGTAAGTTGCTACTCAGATTAGCTTAGTTTCTGTTACCTTACTATGAACATACATTGGCACTAATAAATCTGATCTTTTTTTTATAAAAATAAAAACCAAATGTCTGTATAGGTGTCTTTGGTTGTTTTAACAGCACTATTGCTGCTCATATATTACTGTTTTCCTTTCCAGACAGCTTAGATATATGAAGTTCAAAAACTGAGTAATTTCTGTATTTTTATAATGCTGCTCCACAGTCCTTTTGTTTGGGTTTTTTTTCAGGGTGTTTGCACAAGAAGTTAACTGCAAACATTTTTTCCAAGGTCTTTTACTACAAAATTCAGGCAGAAATATTACTCTAGTTTAAAAAACCAAAAAGTATTCTTAACCTTGATACATAATTTATCAGCTGGGTGGAATTCCAGTGCTCGAATTTCTGAGAGGAAAAGCAAGCAGCAGCAGAAGCAGTGTCTCCCTGGCATGGGTAGTCAAAAGGAGTTGGGAAAGTGTGAGGCTGGGAGCAAGAGCAAATTTCCCTGTTATCTTTTTTCCACTATTCTATTCCAGTCTCCTCTTGATATTAATCGCCCTTCCATTTGCTAAACAAAATATCTGAAGTTTTCCTTTTCTCTAAATTTGGCTTTTTTATTCCTCTCAGGGTTACTTTAACAGCCACAGGGTTGAGCCAAGATTATTATTTTTTGGAAGGTTTTTTGTTCTTGTTTTTGATTCATACAGGCCCCTGTATAAATCCTACTATCCTATGTTAAGTAGTGCAACTGGAGTAGTTGGGGAAGAAGGTTAGACTGGGCAAGCTGAGGGCAAGAACGCCATATAGTGTATTTCCAAGACATTGTGGAAGGTGATTCTTCGCGGTCATATCAAAGTATTGCTTTTGACCACAGTATGTCTGGGATTATTTCATATGCAATATGTAGAAGTCAGAAAAGAGTTGCCATAACTTTGAATACAAAGTTTAATTTTATTTCTCTAATTGCTTATTCCTTTTTAGATCCCGTACACTTAAGAGTAGTGAAAATGAGGAAGGTGTTCTTAATGATTATCTTGATGATAAATGGACCATATGGATCATATCTTTGCATTGGCCATGATCCTAGTCAATGCCTCATGGTGCTATCAGATGCTATTAAAAACATAATTATTTCTGAGTCCTAGGAGGTTTTCCTGATGTAAAGAAAATTGCATATTCAGTTAACTCCCTATTTAATGTAAGTATGCCTTATAAATAGCCTAACAATAAGAAAACAATGAAAAAAATCATTTATGCTGATGAAATGATGAAAAACTTTGTGGCTTATCCTAAAAGTCTTTGAAATGGAGAAATTTATTCACAACATATTGATTAAAGATCTTGCCTGTTGAATAGTCAACAAAACAAGATGCAAAATCCAATGGGCTGGAAATCCAGCTTTGAGACCTAGTTACAATGCATTTACTGGCAACACTGCCAGCAGGGTGAGGATGATACTTATTCTGCTTCCTATTTGACACAAACTTTCTTGACTGTGGGTAAGCTGCTGGATTCAAATTAATTTTCCTGTAACATCACGTAAAGTTTTCTTCTTAGCTACATAAAGAGCTTCTGATGTGTGCTGAGTATTATTCTTTAATGTTGTTATGTTCAACATAAAGCGTTAAGTTGATGGAATATGCTGTATCTGTGTGGCTGACTGGCTCTTGAAGAATTCAAGTCTGTAGCAGACCAAATTCTGTGATCAATACCATGCTCAGATAAGAGGGAAGATAAGTTTGTGAAAGGCTTTTCTTTCATCCTTAAAAAAAAAGAAAGAAAAAGAATAAAAATCATCAGTGAAAGTCAATTAAAATGGCTGCCTTACATAAGAGCTGCGAAGGTCTAGCTGAAGTGAATAAAGCAAGGTAAGTGTACACACAGCACATATTCTGTTCTTTGCTGGCCCTTTGTTATAATCTGCAATATATTTGAACAATCTTGCCTTGCTCTGAGACCCATGAAACAGCAAGTTGACCTAAGCATGGGTGAGAGCCAGATCAGATCCTTAACATAGTATTGCAGCATTACTTTTTCATTTAAAGCAGATTGCTTTTGAACCACTGCAAAAAATTAGATTAATTGGGTGGAAGCTTTATCCACCTGGGGAATCAGTTTTGCAATTGCGCTATGTTGCCAGGGGTGCAAGTGGCACACCTAATTTTTTATAACAGAGGAAATTGTTGTTGACCTCACAGGCTGTCTGCTGCGCTAACTCTAGCTGTGTGCTGCACCACCATAGACTGTGGTCACTGCTGAGGCACACTGGAACTTTCTTTTATAATTAAATGGTTCTGTTCTGCCAAAATTTACAGATCTCAGAGTTTAGGGACCTGGTATAGGTATGTAATTTCAGGAAAGTATTCAGTCTTAAAATAGACCTGAGCAGGAACCGGAGGGGAATTTTCCTTTGACTTCAGGTCTTAAATTGGGTCCAAATGAGTAATAGGAGGGGATGGGTTTTATCACATTAACATATGTGATCACACCTATTGGCACAACCTTATCTAAGGACTTGCTTTTATTTTGAGTTTATCATTGATTATTTTGATTCGATTATTAATTGATCAGTCAAAAAAAGAAAGAGGAGGAAAACCAAACAAAATGCCTGGAAAAGGAAAATATTAAGATACCACAGATACAACTACATTATATTAAAAAAAAAAAAAAAGTAGTCTCCAAAGTCAACACTGTTGCTGATATATTAATTTTTCAATGCATCTTTTGTATTCTTTAAAAATGCTTTATGCTGTATTGCTTTCACTTACCTGAAGGAAGAGTTAGATGATTAATTACATTGGTTAGTGACTATTTCAAGCAGAGAACTGAAGACAACCTAAGGAATGACTTGCTTTTTGTTCCTAATGATGCATATCCTGAGTAACTACCTGTTTGTGAGAGGGAGTAACACTGGGCTATAGGTCTTACAGGTTGTTCTTTTCCCCTCTAGCACTCTCAATTTTTGCTGCTTTAAGCTGAATACCTGGGGTAACATTTTACATTATTCCTTGTGATCTACTTCAACCAATCAAAATAATAGGCAGCTGCTTAATACCATTGTTTCATGAAATCAGGGTGAATGAAGTCTGATTAAAACAAAAAGAACAAAGGAAAATGCCATTTGTAAATTATTCTTTGTTAGCAAATGTTCTCATTTCTCCTAGTTTCTCATTCTGAGTTCACAAAGGAAGCAAGCTGTAGCAGATGCAAAAAATATTTAGGGTATTCACACAAATATTGGGTGAGCAGTGAAAGGAAACATTAGCAAAGCTTGGGTCTCTCTGTTTTGATTCCACCTCTGCAATTGTTTTCTCTCATGTTTTTTACTTGCAACCTGTCAAATCCCATCCTAATCCAAGATTAAGTGATATGACATATATATATATATATATATATATATGAAAGTAAGTTGGGTGTTTTTTGGTTTGTTTGGGTTTTTTTCCTTCAATGACCTTCAGTAGTAGTAATTCTAACTGTGTTGTTGGGACTCCTAGAAAGGATCATTGACTCTATGCATATATGTTAGATAATGTTTACCACGTGAGAGCAACTTCTGAAATGCAAGTAACATTAATAATCATTAGGAATGTAAAGTCTTAGGGCATGCTCAATGAACTTTCTCTCCCTCCATGGTAATGCTAGAATTGGCGCTTTCTAGGCACATGTCAGGTAAGTGGCCACACAATGAAATGCAATGAAGGAAAGTTATGATGGAGAAGGAAAAAAGAAAAGACATTTTTGGCTCTCACACAGCATGTCATTCCCACAGAGGAGAGTGAAATTCTTTAGAGCACATTACAAGAATATATGTAGGAGTAAAAGAGTGAATTTGAACGATTCAATATCTAAGCTGAGTGTCAGGAGACCTTTTCAGTATTAGAGATGGAATAATTTCCCAGGGATCATAGTCCCATCTCTCAAATATCAGGAGCTATATTGTAAGAACACTGCCTAATGGAGCAAGACCAATACCCAAAGGTGCCTTTCATAATTG